TGCGTACTGTGCTCTCCTGGGGAATTCGGCTCCGGAAACAGTGTGACTCAAGATGCGATGGTGGCAAGGCCAATTTGAAAGGCATCCGCTGTGCACACACGGCCTCCATCCAAGTACGGCTATTGATTTCCTTGCCTACAGAGAGAAGGTGGATATCTCTTATGATGCCAATTTCAGGATCCAATGAGAGTATAGTACATATGGTGACATACCTTGGCACTGCAGGTTGATTATTGTATTGCCTGATGGTGTGTGTATTTGGTTGCAATTCCTTGTGATCACCATATTCAGCGTCGTGTGCCTTCCTTACCGAGTTGTCCAGACAATGAGAGTTCTCAAGACGTCTTCACATTGCCTCTTTCGGGGCATGCTGACAACAAAAGCGTGGATTGGGTTTGTTTGTTATCTCACATTGCGTTTATGGTAGGTTGAATATGTTGAATGATGGCACTTGGCAGCAATAGGATACGGATCTCAAAGCAAGAATGCTGTATGGTTGGCTCAATGGTATGCATGGTATTGGATCTACAAAGTGAAAACTGGTGCTAATTAACGAGACTTACAGTGAAACAGCAGCAAGACAATATGGATGACATGGAGGTATTGCCTTTAGATTTGAGACAATTACGTTATTGAGGAATACCACAAGGTAAGAGTGTTCATTGTGGGATTGGTTGGATTCAAGTGGATTCTTACCAAACACCATACAGTGGCAGAGCCTTTCATGATACTATTAGATATCAAGGCTGCACGTTGAAGACAGTCAGCCACACTTTCCCTGTGGAGCTCTACATGTTGTACCGGGGACAGCAAGGACTGCTCCATGTTGCGGCCTCAGGGATTTAAAAATGCATCCTCTGTCTGCACGGCCCATCGTTTTACGGCTATTGATCTCCTTGCCTTTAGAGAGAAGATGGGTATCTCCATTGATGCACTCCCCATCGCGTCGATCCATGGAGAGTACTAGTACAATGATGTCTTTGGCTGTGCGCTTTGTATTATTACTTTTACATCCTTATGTAGCCCATTTGGTTCCTCAGTCTGCGGTATGTTATGGACTCTCATGCTTTTTGGAGACTCTTGCCGAATCGCCTACCATTATTATTTAGAGGGACCATTGCAGAGTTACTTGTCTTTGGTGCTTGGAGTTTACAAGATCACAGCTATGAATGCTAAGTATTGTTGGATGAGCTGGACAATTGTTTATGGTGCATCTTTTATAGGTGAATCATGTCAGACATGGGGAAGTGTTTGCGTCTTTGGTGGTGTCAACCTTATTGCGTCTCGGTGGTTGGTTACCAAGCAACGGGCGATTTCTCTGGGGGAATGTCAGCCAATGAACGTTCGGTGAGTGGATTGTACTCAGCAATTATAACAGCATCCATATCGTTGGTGTCATATCAAGCTTTTTCCCATCATCTGGTTCTTCTCGTTATTGGCAATTCGGTGGGCATCCTGAAATGAAGGTCTCTTATCGATTGATCACATCAGCAGCAAGGAACAACTTGCATATCTTTGATATCAGCAACCTTTCTATCTCTTGTCTTGCCATTATGATTCCTTTGATGGATCTCTACAACTGCGGCGTGGCCTTATGGATGGACTGAAGGGCCACTACCGCCAATGAGAACCCTGCGTTGACATCTTTGGCGTTAAGGTCATTCATGCATCTCCTCAAGGTATTCATCGTCAAGCTGCATTCGATTTCCACGAAAAACGATTACGGTCTGGCATCGCTCTTTAGCCATATGTATGTCACTCCGCAGCGCTAGGATCTGGTTTGGGCTTTTCGATGCACAATGCTTTCGATTTGTAAGCGTGGTCTTGGGCAGCAAGGATTGTCTCGTTGTCTTCGTAAGGCTCTTCATCATGTAAGTATGCTGCCATCTTTGGTGGTATCAACATTACTCAACCTTCTCACTGCATATGCCCATAAGCATCGTTCCATCGCTTTCGCCGAGTACCACCGTAGCGGGCCTCATCAACAAGTGGACGTATCGCGGTGAACTGGCTGGATTTTGGATATCATCAGGATTGCGTGCATATGACTATCATTGTAGGTATCACGATCCGTTCTTTTCAAGGGTCAGCCTACCAACATCCTCTTTACTATAGTGTGCGGACTATTCAGCAAGCTAATGGTCTCGTGGTCATTTGGGGTTTTCATGGATGCAGCTGTCATTGATGTCAACCTGTTTTCGTGCGTATGGCTATCATTGGTAAATATGGGATGATACGTTTTTTAGTTCCAATCCTAACCAACCTCCGCTTTTATCTTAGCATGTGGGCTATTCAGCAAGCTACTTGTCTTCTGGTTCTTTGGGTTTTCATGGATGAAGCTATCATTGAATGTCAACATGTTTTCGTGCGTATGGCTATCATTGGTAAATGATGATCCGTTCTCTTCTTCAACGCCTGCCAACCTCTTCTTTTATTATAGGATGCTACTTGTCTTCTGGTGCATTGGGATTTCTATGGATGCAGCTGTCATTGGTAAATAATGATCCATTCTTTCTTTCAATGCCTACTAACACCCTCTTTCATGTGAGTTATTCAGCGAGCTACTTGTCTTGTTCCCTTTGGATTCTTGATGGATGCAGCTATCATTGGATGTCGACAGGGGTTTATTCATATGGCTTTCATTGGTAATAGTGATCCATTCGTTTCTACAACCCCAACCAACCTCCTATTTTATTATAGTATGTGTGCTATTCAGCAAACTACTCGTATTTTGGTCCTTTGGAATATTCATGGATGCAGCTATCATTGCTAAGTATCGTTCTATGGATTCGGGAAACTGTTTACCGTGCATCTTTTATAGGTGAATCATGTCAGGGTCAAAGAGCAATGTCGACAGCATCCTTCAGTGTCAGCTTGCCTTATTACATCGTTCGATGGTTTTCGTTACTGTACCACCTATTGGACACTTCCTTTTATAAGCATCTGCAGCGGCAAGGCAACAAGTTCTATACCTTTTGGTGTCGCCAAGTTTTATCTCGTCTTATTGTGGTCCTAGTTGTTGACAGCCCTTTCAATGGATATCCTGCTACGCATGCCTGTTATCGGTGGATCATATCAGCTACAACCAAGAAGCAGCAATGAGCAACAGAGCCCACATCTTTAGTGTCAACAACATTTACTTGATCCTCTGGTGGTTCTCGTTATTGGCAAATTGATTTCAAGAGCCCTCTTCATCGCACGTATCTTATGGATGTATCACATCAGCAACAAACAACAATGCTACGTGTCCTTTTGGTGCTGTCAAGGTGTATTCATCTCTCATGGTATTCATCATCAAGTATCGCTTGGAGAAACGGCTATCAGAATTGGTCACTGGGTCGACATCTCTACAGCAAGGAAATGTGTTCTGATTACTGGGTGGCATCAAACATCGTGGATTCTCATATGACACTGGCTAAGTATTGCTACCATTACCTCAAAGATAAATTAGTGATATGCAGTTTTATAGGCCCATCATTCCATCAAGCTATAATTTCGCATGCTCTTTGGTGCCATCAAAGTCTCTCCTGACAGCTGTCAATGGCAAATCCTATTGAATTGGAAGACGAAGATCAACATTTGAATTTGGGTGGGTGTCTCAGAAGCAAGCAAGCGATCTCTATCTTATAGTTGTGGTTGTCAAGGATACCGTTTCCATGGTTTGGAAATCAGCTACCTGCAAGTCGTCTCTTTATCGGTGGATCTTCAGAGCAATGTTTTTATCGGTGCCATGGCGGATCTCATTCCTCAAGTACTTGTATGGGTACCATTGGATGTTGGCATTGGATGCATTGTATGCAGGAAGTATACGCACTTGTGAGTGCTGTGGTAAAGGAAAAAGAGAGGAAGAGGAAGGGTCTGGTTGATTCATTGTGTCTTGAACAAAGACCGTATTCTGTTGTATCGAGCACCTCCGTTTCTTTGTATTAGATATTATTAATAAAGTCCTAGCACACGTTCCTCTTGTATGGTTTGAATCTTGTAAGACATTTATATTTTTGATGGTATACGGCGGCGGGAGGGATGGCTCATCATGATTGATTGAAGGTATTATTGCCGTTCATTACTTATCTCGGAATGACCCCTGGCAACGCAAAGCCAAAAGCTGCCATCATCCACTAGAATGGAGCTTTGTTTCAGACACGGTAACGATTCATATGTAAACAAGGAAGTATGTTAACCAATGTTGTGTGTATGTGTCAAGCATGGATGAAATAAAAGCAATGTGCTGTCCCAAAATAGACTAGTGCTTGGTAGCATGAAAATTATTTTCAGTAACGAACATGTTGAATCAGGGGATGTGTATGCTATCCAAAGGCTCATTGTATCTTTTGTATATCGTAACTTAGCTACGTCTCCATGACAACCAAGTACATTTATGGATGATAGAGACGTTTAGAAGGAGCAAGACGGAACAGACAAGTGGATAGAAGTTCAAGTTAGTGTAACATCCTCCCTCCGACCTTCCGATCTGGATGGGGGGAAAGAGAAGTTCAAGGATGGTATACATGTAAACACTCATTAGCATGATAGAGATCAAGTCATCTAATAAAGTAGCTATCATCATGAAAATCATCCATGGGTCAATTCTCACAATGTGATAATGCATAAAAGGGTGATTAACGAGCAATGGAACATTGGATGGGGTTGATTTCTTGCCATTCACTCTCACGTGTCTGCAATTTTGCCTCCACCTCCCCCCACCCAGAAATCTGTTTCGAAGCACTCTTTTCTTTTCCCTCCTCTTCTTCTTCTTTACGACGACGTAATTCACATTGAATGCAGCACCACCATGGCCGACGATACTAGAGATAAACTACAAGCGCTCATGGAGGAGTACAAGAACAGCGATCCAGCCAACAATGTTCGTCAACAAGTAGTCCTTCAGGATGACAATGAGCACCGCAACTTGACGCAAGTATATATATATGCGCGCATGCAGACTTTATGTTTGACAAAAACTAACACACGCGTTATAGTGAAAAGGAGCCACGACGTATGCGTGAAGATCCAGTGGCGTTTATGCTAAATCTCGGATTACATTACAGGGGAACTGTTACGTGTCTTTTCCTACCTATTTGACGTTATTATGCATTAACATGTCCTATTCTCCCTCTCTCCTATCAGGGATGGCGTGGCTACAAGACTTACATTGGCAACAAGATCTTTTACCCTGAATTCTCACCCCGAATGAAGTCTCTTGTTCTCAACAGCGAAGCAGGTAATAATAGGTGCCTGAGGAGGAGGAGGAGGAGGAGGAGGATCATGATGTGATGAGTTTTAACTGGCATCTACGTAGTTCAAAAGGTGATCGATGAATTGGCCGATCGACAAGCTGAACGACTCGCCACTGTCCAAAAGAAAAAGAACATTTCTGAACAAGAATATCAACGTCGCATGGCACGTCAACGTAAAGCACTGAGAAAGGAACTTGAAGCAGTCGCCAAAGGAATTGCAGACAAATGTGTCTCTACCATGGATGATATTCGCAATGTGAGGTAGGGTGCATCATCATGCCGGCTTCACGATCCACCACTAATAAATAACATGTCCTTCTTTAGATTCTTTGCTTTTGCTCTCAACAATATCCTCGTTCGCTTGTATCATCAAGGCATTCACATCAAGGAAAGCCAATGGGTCGAGGTCTGTGTTTTTTGTGTCACATCAATTACTTTTTATTCTTACTCATCTGTATAACAAATTTTAGTTGAAGCGAATTGCATTGATGGCACAACAAAAGAAGCAATCATTGATCCTTGCACCGTGTCACAAATCACACATCGATTATCTGGTGGTGTCCTACATCTTTTTCCGGCTAGGTTGGTTCAGCCTGTTAATATACAATGATGATCTTTGACTAATCCTCAATATCAGGCCTCCAGATCCCTCATATCGTCGCTGGAGAGAATCTTGATCTCCCTCTTTTGGGACCTTTCTTGAAATCATGTGGTGCGTTCTTCATCAAGCGAGAGTGGGGTGGCAATGGCTTGTACAAGACGATCATGGAGGAATACATTACCACATTGCTTTTGGAAGGAAGTATGTACCCTATGCAGCGTATGCTTTCAAGATCTTGTTGCTTACTAGCTTATCTCTCTGTTAGTGAACTTGGAGTGCTTTATTGAGGGAACACGATCTCGCCTTGGAAAGCTGCTATCGCCCAAGCTGGGTATTGTCAAGATCGTATTGGATGCTATCATCTCAGGGCGAGTTTCTGACTGCTTCATTGTTCCCATGTCATTGGGTTATGACAAGATCATTGAAACTTCAAGGTTAGATCTATTGCAGGGATAAAGATCCATCCAATGCTCACACCCACCATTCTTAGCTATGCGAACGAGCTTTTGGGTAATCCAAAGGAAAAGGAAAGCTTATGGTATGATTGTCAGGCTGCTTTGCAGGGATACGGTTATCTCATCCATATTTATAGGGGGTTGGTTACCAATACTCGCATTCTGCAGCTGAAATGGGGTAGAGTGGATGGTAAGTTGACAAGGAGATACAGTACGTGATCACATTGACTCATTACATTGGCTATTTAGTCCGCTTGAGCAAACCATTCTCATTAAGAGGTTGGCTGGAAGATCAGCTCAATATGCGCGGGTATGTTCCTTTGGTTGCTTGGATATCACGTGACATTAACAAGTAAATGGTATACGCTAGGTCAATGGATTTGACGAACACTGGACAAAAGTCAATACTTTTGAAATCTTTGGGTTATCGGTGAGTCATACATTATGATGGTTGTTGAGGATCTGCTACTCATCGTTGGTATACAATAGCATTCTCTCTGATATCGTAAGATGATTATACATACACACTCGCATGGCCTTTTGCTAATATCGAGGATTCTTTTGCCCCAGAATGCTATTTCCGTTGTGATGCCATCCGCATTACTAGGCACTGTGATGCTCACCTTACGTGGTCGTGGTGTTGGTAGAAGCGAACTTATTCGGCGTGTGGATTGGTTAACGAGGGTGATCCGTTCCAAGGGTGGTCAAGTGGCTGAATTTTATGGCATGTCTACTGGTGTCGTGGTCGATCGGTAAGTCCATATCAGCGTCCCCGCAATGCAATCAAGCTGCTAAAACCACCGTATCCAATAGTACTGTAAGCATCCACAAGGATCTCATCGCTGAACAAAAGGTCAAGGATCTTTTGGAGCCAACATTTTATTGTGTCAACCCATTCGAGCTCTCCTATTATCGTAATCAAGTGATTCACATGTTTGTGGAAGAAGGTAATGGTTATCTAAAGGTATCTTTTCAACCCATCTTACGCACGTACATACATAGCCATTGCATGTGTTGCTTTGTACACTGTGGTCAAGCTTGGTGGCAGCAAAGTGAACCAGCGCATGAGATATACCGATTTACTGGAAGAGATTTCGTTCCTTTCAAGCTTGCTCAAATTGGACATGATCTACAAACCTGGAGGTGTCGAGAACAATACCCGAAGAACAGTGAGATGGCTCGCTGATAACGACGTCTTTGAAGTCACGGATGATGGCTGGGTGACCTTATCAGACGCTGAACGAGCCTGTGGACGCGAGAATTATGGTAAACGAATAGCGTGTTGCTTTTAATCAATGCGAGGGATATTAAGTGCCATCATCATCATTTAGATTTCCTTTGTTTCTTGATTTGGCCTTTTATTGATTCGTATTGGCTCGCTGCTGTCAGCTTATTCTCGCTTGCTCAACCTAATCGACCCTCTGGAACAACAGGACCCGTCAAAGCGGACATGAAGGTGTTTTCTAATCGAGCACAAGCCCTTGGTAAAACATTGTATTATCAAGGTGACCTGGTATGTGTATATGCGTGTGCATGAATGTGGGTATCCTTTATCTGATTTTGGGGGACGTTGGGTAGAACTACTTGGAAGCAGTCAACAAGGAGACTTTGAGCACTGCATTCAATCGATACCAAGAACAAGATATCATTACAATCCAACGCCATCCCACTCCTAAGCCATGGATAGAGATTTCATTAACGGATCATTATGTACCTGAACGCGTGAATGGCATGTTGATGCCTCAAGGCGCCCTGTGGGATCTAGCGGACCGGATCGGCAAGTTTAGAATGGAAGGCAAGAACCGGAGAGACAGCCAAACAGGTATATGCACATCTTGCTTCCCCCTTTTTTTATTCCGTATTTGGCTCAAATTCGTTGTTGATTCTCACACACACATCCGTTTATCTCTACTAGTGAGCACCCGTGTTTTACGTCTTGCAGAAATTTTGGCTGAAGAAAATGCAACACCTTCCGCAAATCAAAAGACCCTGTTGAAAAAGCGATCTGCTGACAAATCCAAGCTCTAGATAATGTATAGAAGCAAGCAGGTTGTATACCAGGATCCCCCCTCCCTTTCCGTAATATCATCATCCATTTTAGAGTTACAAGCAAATCTGTTGTATAATGAGTGAAATGATGGTAGTTTGGACATAGTGATTTATCTATATACAGTAAAACAAAGCATAAAAAAGTATGAACGGATGGGATGGTGGTATAAAGCGGCGATGATTATGTACATGCAGGGAAGGAGATTAAACATCTAGACTCCATGTTGAAAAGGAGGAATCAAAGGGATGTTCATCATCAATATCGGTTGCTAGGTCCTTGTTCGATAGGATCATGGTGGTGGTAATGGTGGAGATCGGTCAATACTGCAATGCCACCATGACCCATATTTGAATGCACTGAAAATGTGGGTGTAATAGGAGATGTAGCAGGTGACGTTGTCCCAGAGGTAGTAGCCGATGCTACATGATGATGATGTTGATGATGGCTGTTTTCTTCATCATCGGATGATGTTGTATCATTGTTGTTGTGTCGAGTCGTATGTCTACGAATCAAGGATGTTCTGCGCTTTTCAGTGAAAGCCATTTTTAGTTTGTCCATAAGGTGGATGGGATTTAAGCGTCGGTCTGATGTTTGACGTGGTGGCGTCGTTGCAATTACAACTTCATGATGTTGTCTTGCATGATGTTGATCATCTATATATGATAAAAGTGAGCATTCATGATGATGAGCCCATTGTATTATTCTTACCTTCATGGTGATGGTTAGCTGCTGTATCCATACCAGACATGTGGGTAACGGAGGTAGCAAGGGTTAATGGTTCGGTTTGATTGGGACGATGAATATCAGACGAGCCCACATTGGATGTGCGTGGTGATGAAACGGGTTGTTGTTGGTGTTGCTCTTCTTCCACAGCATCAGCAATCTTTTCCTCGACTTCTTCTTCATTGTGTCTCAAGTCTGAATATGAGCGACACATTGGACATTGAAAACCGGGATAGCTAGCCAATAGTGGACGTATGCATTTAAAGTGGAAAGAATGCGAGCAAGGGGCTACAAACAAGGCTTGCTGCGCTTTCAATGCATACAAGCAAATGCAGCAATCATCTTCCTCCGATGCTGCTGATGATGATGATGTCGGATGCTGTTCCGAAACTTGTGTCGAGTTGGTGAGTGTCTTCAAGTTATGAAATGCAGCCGCATTATAGGTAGCAGGACGTGTTGGCCTATTAACTTCAAAGCGCATTTTGACGGCGCGATAACAAGGCTCCATCCCATCTTGATAATCAACGCCTAGCTGCACAAGATCGCCATCATGGATTTCGACGGGTCGACTGGTTTGTTGAGTGCTGGTTAATCGCATATGATTGACATAGGTTCCCGAAGATGATTTGGTATCTCTTAAATAAAGCTATAGCATCTCAATAAGTTTCCATGTACATAAATGGGGTAGTCTTTTTTCATGTGTACCTTGCCGTTATGCCCTAGCCATAGCTCACAATGCATACGTGAAACCACTTTGCTTCTGAGAGAAATGTGCTCGTCGTTTAAATGATGGTCAGCGAAACGACCAACTTTGATAACGTTGCCAGGCTTGAGATCACGTTCAACAATATTAAAAATGAAGCATCGATTGGGATCATCGATACTAGGTACAATGCGAACGTGAATGTTTGTGTCACAGCTATTGGTAGATGATGGGCAATAGGTCGTTGTTGTTGTTGTTGGTGGTGCTGCAATCTCAGCAGCCATTGGCTCATCATGTTGATAAACGAGGTCATGGTTTGAGTTACGACAAGTAGATGTGGATGTGGTGGCCATGGGTAGAATATCTGTCATGGTAAAAGTAATATTCAATGAGAGATGAAAATGGGTGGGTGATTCATTCTGGCTCTGATTTTTATATAACGCGATGATGTGTGTGATCTATCAACCCCCCTCCTCCTCCTCAAGGGAAATGGCACGACACACGCAGCACACATACACAAAAATCCTGTATATTGAAAGTATCAGCCAATCGTACGACATTTAGTTTAACCAATAAGTGTGTGTGCTCATGTGTGTGCCCCTATACGGATTTAAGAGGAGTAAAACACGAGATCATCAACAAAGAAGCACATCTCAAACGATATGCGATGTACTTGAGTGGCTGGTGGCAAAGCTTGTTCTTAAACTTGGTCTTTTTTTAGCACTTGTATGGTTTGTATGATTACAGATGACCCGGCTTTGGGTAAAATCGATGATCACTCTATTCAGGGTTTATGGTAAGAAGGAAGGAATGTTGGTACGTAGATCCTGCAGTTGATGGCGACTTTTACGGCATCGAACGACTTTTTACCCCCCGAAAAAATCATGCGACATTCTTCAAATCCAGACGGCCACCTATTTTTTTTTGCCACCCATCCCAACAACTACCCCTCTTTCCGATCATCGGAAAGCTTTATTACATCTTACCCCACTTGTAAGAGATGTGACGATCCGTATTATTATTAATCGACAATCGTCATCTTGTTGATGCTCGGTAACTTTGTACAATCGGAATGGCTACACACTCTCTCGCATATCAACGCCCAGGGGTTACATGTTGTTGTCGGATGCCTTTTCCTCAAACGCCGATGCGTATTACGCTTACCGATACCCATACCTCCACCACATTTTCACACATGCTTATCATTCATATTCGTAGTAATTGCTACTGTAGGGCAATAACAATGGAGCCAACGCTCTTGATGTATATTGACGACAAATGTTCTCTGATCCGACTTAGTAATAGTGGCATCAAAAAAGGATTCGATTGTTCCAGTCTTTTATACATTTCTCAAATTTTGTTGTCATTTGCATGCAGCTAATGACGATCAACTTTCCAACTTGTTCAAATCCGTAATATGGTATCATCCAGCATGTGCATTGTTGCCATAAAGAAGAAGGATCCATGATGATGCAATGGATCAAAGAAACAACTAGCTCCTGCTATAGAATCATCATCGATTCCAATACGTACCATGCTTGGTTGCTGAAGGTGAAAGGGATTTGGGTCATTATTAATTGGGGACACGGGATGCCCTTTGACCTATATAGCATGTTTGATCTTAATTAACCTTACAAACGGACATCGAAATCGCATATGCCTTGCATGTCAACATTGGATACAGGAATGTAAAAACGACCACGGTGATGCATCTGGCGGAAAAAAAGGCACCATAAAGGAGAAATAGGACACGTTTTTTTATTTTACCTTTCACTCTACTAGCGTACATTGCCAAAAGAAGGTTGCCCCATTTGCCATGCGTATGTACTCCATAAAGCTCCTCACGTGGTTGTTGAATAGACATGGCATTTCGTCACACCCTGTTTTCTCATTTCACGTTGGTTCAATGATTAAACCACCACCACTACTACGTACTACGATTGTAAGCAGGGTTGCTATGCAACAACATCTTGGTGGTATCCATAGCAACCTACAGTATCCACAGGCCGGCATCAAGTAATGATGATGCGTTTGAGAAGGAATGCACGCATCGATCAACATGTAAGGACGTAGCAAGCGTCGTGGCACGTGATAAAATGGGTTTATTATTGTTCAATGGGGAATTGGATTGTTCCAAGAGACTAGTTTGATGCATAACCGATCGCATGGGCTGTACAAACACACGGCATGTCCGATTTTGGAAACATAAAAATTGCATGCATTACTTGTGTGTGTGATGTAGAAACGATGGAGGATCATCAACAATGTTGGTCATGCGTATGATGATGATGATGATTGACAAGTGAAGGAAAAGGTGTCATGTACGAGTTGATTTAGTGGTAGGATTACATTTTGTGAGGATGTCATCCTCAAGAGTCATCATTGCACATGGAAACACCACCTGACAGCTTACTCTGGGTTTCAAATAAGGTGTATGTGTGTATGTGTTTGTTGCAACACACACTTACTGTGATGATGGATGTTGAGCAAGTAAAGAGACAAACCTCCTCAAGCACGGACTTTGAGCCCTCCTTTCTTCTTTAATCATAATTCATTACCACTACTACTAGTATCATTACTACCACTACTGCTATCAGTGAAAAGAAAAGGGCACCGTAGCGTGATAGAGAGGCCATATACACTATTCTCTTCTCTGTTTCCCCTCGTTTCTTGGGACCTTGATTGTTTCAGTACCATCGACTCTGTCATCCTGCCAATTTGATCCCTTTGCTTCTTGTCACGATTGCCAGTGTCTTCGCGTCCATTGGACAAGTCATCTATTACCACTGAGATTGCATACGCCGTTCGATACAATACACTTGACCCTTTCCAACTTGGCCTGTTGCTTTTTACTCGGTTGCTGTTTCGGTTCCACGTTCGGTGTGTACGACTTGATTATTTGAGGTACATTTATACACACACACACACACACACATCTATATACTTTTGCATCTTTCTCTTTCATCCACTCACTCACTTTTTACCTCCTTATAAGCGTGACGAAACAAAAGCGCATTGTTCATGTCATCATCGACCGTTACTGACACCTACATTACCGAGCCTTGGATACATATGCAACAGCAGGGTTATGTCGCGCGAAAACCGCTTTATGATCATCATCAGCCATCAACACGACGTCAATCAGCACACAAGGCAACCAATACTACTACAACCACCACCACCAATACCACGAATATTGCTTCCAAGGATAGTCGCAGGAGACAAAGTTACACCAGCAGCATGATAGGAGGAACATGCTACGCCAAATCATCCACCGCTGCAGCAACCACTCCACAACAACAGCATAATACGACCTTGAAGGAATTGATGCATAATGGGCATGCTGCTGATACTGGCATGAGTCAAAATGGGATTTATGAAGCATTTGCTCAATTGGATGATGATTCAACAGCAACAGCAGCAGCAAAGAATCAACGTCGGAAAAGTTCCGTAGCCCTCAATTCATTACGTCGAAAGTCATGTACGAATCGTCAACAACGACCAACAATGGCGGATGAATCCGAGCAACAACCACAACAGCAACGAGCAACGAATCGCATCAACAACAAAGCGACCACCACTGTCACGAGCCTTCTTCAATCCAAACGAATGTCACATGGCTCATCCAATGTTGCAGCAAGGATAGCAGCCATCAACAACAAGAGTAGCAGTAGTAGTAATGATGTCGGTGGCTGTGGATTGCGGGGTCTTCAGACCAAAAAGTCCACAGAGAGCATTACACAACAACAACAACAACAGCGACGTGGGACATTGGGTCGATCTCGTCACAGTCCCCATCACAACCATGAGACTAGCTCCTTATCATCATCATCATCTTCTGATCGAAGCACTAAGCATGGGCCCAGTGACACAGATGACGGATATAATAACAAGAGCAACAACGGGCCGAAGCCTACACGTAATGTGCCTGTCAAAACATTCGATCCAGAAAAGGAACGCGGCACAGGTTTTGTGTTGAGAGATGTGCTTGCTGTGAAACGTAGGCAGGTGAGACAAGAGCTCGGTTTGTCTTCCGATGCTGCTACCAAACGACAACAACAACAACAACAACATAATCGTCAATCTGCACCACCCGCTCCCACAACAAGAACTTCTTCAACACATCGACTTGCTGAAAATAGAAGAAAATCAACAACAGCTACCACTTTTACAACAACAACAGAAGCTGCTCGTCGACGTACAAAGGAAAAGACGACCACCACCACTACTACTACTACAACCACGACAGCCAAAAATACCACCACTACTACACGCACTAGTCCTGCTGCTAATCTTCCTACATCTCATGAGACACGCCGACGCACTTTATCCAATGGCTCTATATTACGTCAATCACCTATAAAGAATGATACAAAGACAGCTACTACTGAACGACGTCGCAAATCCATTGCATCCGTAACAGCAACAACAGCTCGCAGTGGCAATGATACACAAAGTTACAGTCGACCTACATTGGCAGAGTTACGACGTCGATCCACTGCCAACGTCAATGATGAGGCATCATCACTCACCATGCTTGCAACCAAACGACGTTCAATAGCAGCAACAACAACAACAACAACAGCAGCGAGTCGACGTGCAAGTAAAGTGGATACCAAAAACAGCAGCAACAATGGTCGTCGTAGCAGTGAAGCGGGTTCTCGTAAAGGATCACCTTCAACAACAAGCTCACCAGGAGAAGTGGATGATAGCAAACGATCTCAAACAACAAAGCGACCTGATTTGAATCGACGTATGAGTAAAAGAGGATCCATGCTAGCACAACAACAACAACCTGCATCAATGAGTCCAGCAGCTCGAACACGCAAAAAGTCTATTGTGGCTATGGATGATTCAGCCCTTACAGTGAGAAGAAGGACTCGTCGCATGTCACGTACCGAAAGCTTGAAAGAAGGTGTACCCACAGACGTTTCTTTGGATGCTGCAAAGGATTGGAGGAAGAAATCAGATGCTGCACGTGAAGCATTTGCTGCAACAACGAAAGCAGCCACTGTACGCAAAATAGCTGCAGCAAGACAAGAACGACGCAAGGTAAAATGAAGAAGAGATGATGATGGTTTACAATAATGGGGTTGTTCATTGTTATATATATGTATAGACATTGCCAGGTAGCCTAGCAACACCACCACCCCCTGGAGAAGCATTGAATTTACCACCTATGAAAGTGGAGCCTATTCGTCTCAACATCCCAGGGACACGACGTACCAAGTCATCTCGATCTCGTTCATCAACACGTGGCGGTGGTGGTCATTCTGCAAGTAGTGAGGAAGAAGCATCAACACCCAAAGATGATGACAACAACATCAAAAGGACAAGAAAAGAGTTGCCACAACTACATGTCGCTATCACTGGGGCCCATCATCATCCATCATCAAAGCATTCTCCTGGATCACAACGTGATAGTGCCATCGATGTGCTCTCGCCAAGATCACGTGCATTGCATGCTTTACAGTCTGCTGGGAACAAGACATCTCATCCAAATGAAGATGGCGTATCACCATCATCACCTTCAATGTCCCCTCGTGCAAGAAGAATGAGTTCAGGAAGTGGTATGGCTGCTGCTGCTGCTGCTGCTGCTGCATCAAGCAATGACCATGGTAGAACAGCCTCTTTTTGTGAGCCAAGCAGTCGAAAGGGTTCAATGGCATCAACTCTTGACAATGATCCTGCCAATGATCTTCGTAAGTATACATATCAAAGGTACCCATCCCACATCATTCACACGTATTCTCTTTCTAGAACGTAATCGTGCAATGAGTCTTCAAGGGCGTTTACAAGCCATGGTGCGTCAACATACAGAGCATCCTACCAAAGAGACATCCTATACCCAAGAGGTGATGCATCATCATTATCAGCCTTTGAAATATCGTCATGCAGCAGCAGCAGCAGCAGCACGCTTGAGTGTCTATGACGATACCACCAAACGACAAGAACCAGCCACTTCACCAACCCCTGCTGCCGCCTCTTTGAATGAAGAAAGTAATAGTCCTACCATGATACGATCACCTGCACGTCTCAGTGATACGCTTCTTTGGGATAAGGAATTGGCTGATATTGCTGCTGTGGGCTTACCTGGTCCCAAAAGTCCAACCACGGCCATCAAATTTTATTCTGCGTTTTTATCACCTTATGAGCACACTGAAATCCAAGAGTATTCCCAAGTCTACTTTGTTGGCCATCATGCAGAAAAGCATATGGCTGTCCCTGACGACCCCACCAACAACTTTGGCTATGATGATGAACATGGTGACTACAACATTATCGCTCAAGATCATTTGGCGTATCGGTATGAGATCATCGACATCCTTGGTTGTGGTTCCTTTGGACAAGTGATCAAGTGCTACGATCACAAGATGGAGACGACAGTGGCTATCAAGATGATTAGGAATAAGCGTCGTCTTTATGCACAAGCGCGTACCGAGGTTAACATTCTCAAGGATCTGGTGAAATGGGACCCCCATGATCAACATCACAACATTCGCTTGACCGACTCGTTTGTGTTTCGAAATCATCTCTGCATCGTATGCGAGTGTCTCAGCATCAACTTGTATGAATTCATCAAAGCCAACAACTATAAAGGGTTCTCTTTGAGCTTGATCAAGAGGTAAAAGTGCATGGTTGCAATACGCAAAGAGATGATGATGGCTCATACCCGTTATAGATTTAACCTTCAATTGCTTCAATCGCTCTGTTTACTTTATGAGCATGGCGTCATCCACTGTGATCTTAAACCTGAAGTAAGTTGTCTCTATGTATGTATGTGTGTGGTGGTCCAAATATTGACACGCTTTTGTTTTAAAAAGAACATTCTCCTCAAACATCCCGCCAAAAGTACTATCAAAGTAATCGATTTCGGTAGCAGCTGTTTCGAGAATGACCGAGGTAGGATGCGTATGACATCGTTTCGATGAGAGAGAGTGTTTAAATTGATTGTGTTTGCCGTAGTGTATACCTATATCCAAAGCCGATACTACCGCTCTCCTGAAGTGATCCTTGGTAAGCAACGCAGTAAAAGGATGAAGAGGTTTTTTCTAAAAGGGAACTTGCAGGCATGTCGTACAACGCAGCCATTGACATGTGGAGTCTCGGCTGCATTCTTGCTGAGCTTTATACAGGTAAAAAAAGAAGGACCCAAGGGTTCAATCACATACTAACACCATGCAAATTGTCTATAGGGACACCTCTCTTTCCTGGTGAGGATGAGCAAGAACAGCTAGGATGCATCATGGAAATTCTTGGTGTGCCAAGCCGATACATTATCGAACAATGTTCACGTAGGAGACTCTTTTTCGGTAAGCAAAAAATGAATGACATGGATGGGTGGATGGGAGTCCTTATGCTCTTCATTTTGAAATAGATTCAAGTGGCAATCCACGCATTATACCCAATTCAAAAGGAAAACGCCGTCGACCAGGCACAAAAACACTCTCCCATGCTCTTCGTGGTAGCGATCGTCGATTCATTGACTTTGTTTATCGGTGTTTACAATGGGATCCTCGGAAACGGATGACACCGGATCAGGCATTGTGTCATGAATGGATGCTTTATAGCTCACGCCATAGTGCGAGAAAACAATCCAGTGCGGTTGAATAAGTTAAACTACCATCATGTTGTCTTTTAAGGGATGTTTCTTATATGCATACATACACACACACACACAACACTTTTTATATTATACCTGTTGCCATTAGGAAAAAATTCATGCTCTCTTTCTCTCTTTCGTACAATAATATCCAACAAGTCGCATACAATATGGATTTCATCTTCTTTATTTACATGAAAAGAGGGGTGATGGGTGATGTGGGGAAGTGACTAAACAAGGATACTTGGGTTTTCGGTTATTGAATTTACAGCTGTATCAGCACGTTGCTTCTCAGCTTTAACGCATTCACTCACACTCTTCCTCTCTCACACACGCACTATCTCTCTCTCTCACACACACCACCCACACATACACTCACACTCACACAACCCCAGCTTGGTCCGTGGAGGTTAGTTAACTCCCACTTATTTTATCTATCTTCTTTTCTTTTTCTCTTGTCACCATGTTGTATTGCATCCTTGTGTGTTTTCACTTGAGCTACCACATGCTGAAATCCACCCGACCTTGACGACCCAATGCGCCAGCTTGAATCGATCGACATGACGAGTTCTATTCCATCGAGTGTGCATCCGACGACATCATCTGTCGATAGTGGTCGACAAGGTGGTGGTTGTTATCGTCAAGTTGTGCGAGGATGATATAGCAGCAGCAGCAGCAGCAGCAACAGCAACAACACGTATACTTGGATAGCTTTCAACAACAGCCTTTTTTTCCTTTATTCTCTTTGCACCATTTTTACTCCTTGTTGTATTCTTTCTTCTTTATCCTTTGTTCTATTCTCACACTTGTTCTCTTTGTATTTCTTACATTCCTGTCTTATGTTTGTCTTTTTTGATAGACAAATCCTGTATAGTTGCATCCAAATAATTATCACTTGCATTGTTTCCTGCACAGAATGAGCGACGAATTCGATATTTATGGCGATGATACATTTGATCTTGGTATTCAGGTACTACTTTACTACTTCGATTACTACAATCGAAATGAAATGGTGGTGGGACATCTTGTCGATTGACTCGAATGGCTCTCTCTCTCAGTCAGATGATATCTTGGGCGAAATCGTTGGAGAGTCCACTACAAGAGAAGCAAAACGTCAAAAGCTGAACAAGGCATCCAACGATGATGATCTATTTGAGGACTTTGGAGAAATTGACAAGGTAAGAATGGAAGAAGAAAGGCATAAAGATCATCTTTATTCATGATACAAAAGAAAGAGAAGATGAAACGGACATCACATGATCGCCAAAATGACAGCTCACAACAACAACAACGACATCCATCATCAGGTATGCATGCGTATCTCAATCAAAAGGGAGTTGGGATATTAACCTCAACATGTTTATATAGATAGCAGCAGCAATACTCCCAAGCAGACGACATCTCAGCAACAACAGCAGCAACCCTTACAAAAGATTCCCACCACCGTATCCACACACACACAAAGTCCACGCAGCACAAGTGGCGATTCACCATCATCAAGGCGAGCTGCTGCTGAACTACCACAAGCCATGGCTTCTTTACGAGGCATCGTGACACATCCAACAACCGCTTTTTACCTTGGTGAACTTGCATGGGTACATCATCCCTCCTCTTTTGATAAGAAAACATGGTTGCTCATTCCTACCTACCTTGTAGTATGTCAATGATGATGAAGTCAAGGCACCTCTCGTTCAGAAAGGATTGGATCCAGAGCTCAAAGAACTTACATTTTTCGAACAAAAAGTCAATGGGAAATCACGAGGGTAAGTGCTTTTGGAGTCTATCTAAAAGGGATTGAAGCTGATTCAAGTTGGTTGGTTAGTATCGTTTTTCTCGAGTTTAAGAGCGTTGATGCAGCCGTCAAAGCAAAAGAGGCAATGGACACCAAGTAAGTAATGATGATGATATAAAACAAAGAGCAATAGGGGCTGATGGATTGTATTAGTGTCATTGATGGCAAAACGCCTGCGACGGCTTTTACTTCATCCACGAATCCATTCAAGCATATTCCCAAAGGTAAGAGGGGGTGATGATGATGAACGATCGTTTTACTTAGATAGATTTTTAGAAACCTCGTCTAAATCTCAACGAACACCAGATACGCGAATGAGTGGTGCAAATACAAATCGCATGATGGGCAATGCAGCAGCAGCCGGTGGTGGATTTAATCCAATGATGCCGAATTTCAATCCTGCAGCGTTTGGTAATATGAACATGAATCCCTATGGTGGCTTTAATCCCATGGCAGCAGCTGCAGCAGCACGTGGAGGATTTATGGGCAACTTTGAAAACATGATGAACATGGCTGGCGTTGCCAGAGGAGGTCGTGGCGGCGGAGGTGGTATGGCAGCAATGCGCAATCAACAATTTATGCATCGAATGGGACGTGGTGGTCCAATGATGGGTGGTGGTGGTGGTGCCAGTGGACCTGCTGGTAATGGTGGTACGTTGATTTAATAACGCATGTCATATATATATCTATATAACTCATCATACGTTGATAGGCATGTACATCAACCCTGCCTTCTTTGAACAGCAACAGCAAGGAGGAGGAGGACCTGGTAATGGAGGTGCCTAGGAACTACTCGTCATTTACCTTTTCCCTCACCTTTTATACCGCCATCCACCCCCCCATTGTGTGTTCCTATAGTAATTCACTTTTGCTGCTGAACAGTAATATCATCATTCTCATCACCCTCATCGCCATCAAAGCAATAAAAAGCCTCAATACTGGTTTTTCAATAGTCTCACACTTGATTGGCTGTTCAGCGAGTGGTAGTAATAGTAGCATGACAATAATGTGCAATGTCACGTGTGTGTCATCGTAAACATCAGGTGCCATGGCAACGCATACCAAAGGGGTAGCACAAAAGGGCAATCATAGCTTGATCTTTTTCTCGACATACACACACACACGCGGTTTATTTCTTTCTTTCTTTCCCAAACTTGAACATATGGAAGCCATCACTGAAAAACTAGTCGACATTGTATTTGGAGTGAGCGCTATCTCGTTTGACATTCCTGCTCTCGGTGTCAGTCTGCCCATGTTGGAAATACTCCATGCGATTCTCATCAACTACACGTACCGCAATGCACTTCGTGAAAGCCATGCCTCGATAGGGTGGGGACAAGGGTTACTTGCGACCATAGTGATGGCTGCTGGTGGAGGATCTACGGTGGCTATCTTGCGTGGCGATCCCCTTGGTATTCTCAAGAGCAATAGGTTCTGGGGTATCTATGGGTAAAGTATATAGTTGTATCCTTGTTGTAGTCCTACTTACATTTCAATGACTCCATGTGTAGAACAACTTATTGGTTGATGTTTTCGAATCCATACGTGTTTCAATTTCTTCAATATCTGTTTTCGATCCCATTTGTTGAGCAACTCTTCACGGCAGCTGATGGCGTTATGCGTACCTCATCCGTCATTCGAAACGGCATTGAAGGCGTGGCACTGAACCCCGAACTAGGCCAAGATAAATGGGTGGCCAAAATCCTGTGTGGCACTCTCAGTGGCTGTGGCGGCGGTCTTTGGGTAGGCACGTGTTGTTGTTGATAACGGATAATAATGCATGAAGGTGATGATAAGGATGACTTATCTATACGATAGATGCTTTCCGGTTAACCAGTGCCCAATGGTCATTCTCGACGCCTCGTTTGTTACAAACAGCTTCCATTGATATGAAGACAGCATTCACCACAGCTACCTTTTATACAGCAATGACCAACCCAACCGTATGCCAAATTCTCAATCTCCCCTTGCTCAAACAAGAAGAGGTGTATGCATGGAGCGCCTTGATCTTTGCTTCAGGCATTGTTTATCGCAGCTATGCATCTCGATGGCAACAACAACAACAAAAGCAAATCACGCCCGAGGAAGAGGAAAAGAAGGATCAATAGCTTAGATACAAGGAGAAGAAGGAGGGTGCATTTTTATGATTGTATTAAAGTTCATTGCCCTTTGGAGCAGACAAGTCACTATTACTAAAGTACAAGAAATCAAAAAGGAAATGTAGAAACAAAAAAAAGGAAGGGGGAATCTGAAAGATTGCAGGATTACAAGGGAGCTACGTAGAGAGTACAACTTGAAAGTGTGTGTGAAAGGTGAATTATACATGAAGCAACAGGATTTGAATGGGAAATGATGATGGAGATTTAGATGGCACACATCTTTTCCATTGCTTGACGTTGAAGAATACCATGCTGGAACCTACATTTTCTGATTGTTAATATCCCCATTCAGGTGGCCTTTGAGAGTGCTTGCTTACTTTTTCAAGTTTTCATTCTCTTGCATAAGTCTTTCGACTTCCTCAAGCAATTCCGATTGCGTGGATTTTAAATGATGAAGCTGTTGCACGGCTATAAAAAAGAATGGGGATGAATGAGGATGACTGATTTTTTTTGAAAAAGATCCCACATCTTGACTTACTGCGTGTCAATAATGCTGCCTTGCTCATTTTCTTATTGTTGCAACCGGGCAAGTGCTTGCGTAGCTCATCAAATCCATCTCGAATTTGAGCACGTCGTTTCTGTTCCGACTGGATATGGATTTGTCGACGCATCTCCACCGTATTTAATTGTCTACATTAGGTGTGAGCTACTACTATTACTCGTACATCAAAAAGTCAAAAGCGAAAAAAAAACCTACCCATCTTCATCTTCTACAACCGAATCATCATCGTTGCCGGTAGTAGACTCTTCTTCAGAGATATGATCCAATTTTTGTTTCTTTTCCAATGTTGTGGTGGATGATTGTTCACTCGTTCCTGCTGCTGATCGTTTACGCTTGTTGCGTTTACAGGCATTTTGTTTCTTCTTTTCATAGGTTTCTTTGGAGTATTCAAGAAACTCGGTATGATAGAATTCCATGGGAACCGAGTTGGCACGAGCGATGGTTTCTTTGACACGTTCTGTGGTGGCATTTGAGAAACGAGGTGAAAGGGGTGTCACTAAAGCGGCTTGGGGTTGATCATGTTGTCGATAAGCTAAGGGTTGTTGTGAAGGTAAAATATGAGGTGTGGAGAGAGGTCCTCCTCCTGCTGCACCCACACTGTTGGGTGATGTCGTTTGCGAGATATCCTTGTTCGATGCTGCTGATGAAGAAGCGGGCACTGAATCGGGACTTGATGGTGCAACCGTTGGAGTAGCACGGTGGTGATGATGAGGTGACATGGGTGGTTCTGAATAATAAGGAAAACGTGCTGCTGTAGTCATTGGATAAGGAATGGGAACGGGTGGTGGGTATTGCAATGGGGTGGCTGTTGGTACAGCACCATAACCGCCATAACCTAGTAGCAGATAGATTCATACATAAGTCTCTTTTTTCCATGCACTTTCCAAATATCAGCCAGCCAATCAAGCGGGCCAGCTTAAATAAGGGAGGAGAAAGAAGGAGCCTATATTTACCTGGATACGCGTGAAATGCTTGTTGTTGATGCTGCTCAGCACGATACGAGGCTGCTGCCGCTGCTGCCGCTGCTACTTTTTATCATCATCATCATTAGATCTGTGAGTGGATGATCGAACCATTGCATTCATTGAAGGATAAGGTGAATTACCATGCGTCGTGGGTGAATTGGTGGCGAGAATAATTTGGCTCATGGTGATCAAAGAGCAATGATATTATTAAAAAGGAATGATGTATTAATGACTGTAAAAGGATCGCTGTAGCGGCTCAGGATGATATCCGAGTAACAAAGTAGTTTGTTGTTGAAGGAAGGGAAAGAAGAATAAAAGATGGAATGAAGTACAAAAAAAAAGTTGATCACGGTTAAAAAACAACGATAGCTTCTCTTGTGCAACATGCGCGCTGATGTTTGTACAACATTGCCCTGCACAATAATATAATCCAAGCTCTTATGAATGAGTTGGACCAAGTAAACGAGGATGTTCATAAAACTTGTTTTAGTGCCCTGAGAGAGGGTATGATGACTCGAATGTCCATGATCAGGTACACCACACAAAACGCAAGCTGAGTGGCATGGTTTCAAACACTTTTGGGATGGATCTCAGAGTATTCTATTTACAGCAGCAGGAATGTGGTGATGTGTGTCAGCTATAAATGTGTGCCCAATGCTCCAAGTTTAATGTATGGCTCTAACCCAACCAATGAATGAATGAAGAATAAATGCAAAATGGATTTATTTATATGAATGAAGATATGATGATGCATGATGAAAAAAAGGAATGCTGCAAATCTCGAAATGAAAAAGCACTAGTAGTAGCGTCGTGCCGCGTATTATTACTTTGGTACACGCATCATGGTCCGCATTTCATCCGCTAGCGGTATGCCGTCATCGTCACTTTCATCGTCGTTGTCGTCATCTTGTGATCTTCGATTCAACTCACGTGCACCACTGAGCTTTTTTAACGATTGGGAAATTGGGTGTCGACCAGGCGACACCGGAGGTAATGGTGATCTTGGTGGCGATAGCGTGTAAATCAATGGCAAATCATCATCCTCGTCATCCGATGATAATACCTTTGGACGAGAGGATCGAGGATGTTGATGCTTGTAATGATGATGATACATGGCACTGCTGCTGCTTGTTGGTTTATAGCTGCGTGATGATGAGGGTTCAACCCGTTGATGATACAATGGATGATGATGATGATGAGGTGTCTCATGTTGTAGTGGTGGAAGACGTGTCCTGGATGACGATGATGACGAAGATGATGATGAAGGTGAAGGAGGACAATAAGCTCTTGGTGGTTGTCGTTTGGGAGAAGGAGGCTTCTTTGGTGAACCACACAATTTGTTCAAGGCTTCTTCACGAGCCATAGCAACCGCTGATGAATGATCACCCGTAAAAGATCGTCCGACTATAATAGCAATAAGTATACCATGGATCTTTTTTCAATCACTGCTACTACTTACATTGATAGGGTGTTTGAAAAAGAGGTTGTGGTGTTTTGGAGCGCTTTGATGTAAGGCCTGGGAGAGGTTGACGATAACGATAGTCGCTCATTGTTTGGAAGCTAATATGAAAACAAGAGAGAGAGAGAGAAATGAAAACAGAATTCTATCGCTGTGAAATTAAATACTGCGTGACACAAAATCTAAATAATTATGAACCACGTTGTTAGACCAAACGTCATTGAAACCCGGCAACCCCAGCAACAAAAGAGGTGGCAATAAACCAACACCCTGTAGTGTCCCATAATAAGCTCAGCGTGTATATGTAAACATGGCGGCCAATATCAATAAAACAGGATAAGCACATTATTTTGCTCCCAAGGGGGAAGGGGAGGAGGTACATAACAACAATAAAGGGATCGCCCCGACCGTGGATCTGGATTGGCTCACCGGTTCCTGTAATGTTTTTATGACTTCTTTGCCCAATAAGCATTCTCGTAAGGATAATCCCGCTTTCCAGCAAGTGCCATTGATTGTATGTTCAAATTATCTATATTTGACAAATGGGATCGTGCAAAAGAATGATGTTGTTGATGGGAGATGATATAGAAAGAAAAAGGGATCGACCAATCTATATGGCCAACTTTATACAATACAGTATGAAAGCAAAAGGTGTGGTTTCCGCAAAGAGATAAAAAGCAAGTGGGTGGGTGATGATGATTGAATGTGTGTGTGATGAGATTGACTAATGTGTTGTTCTTCCAACCATATCTTCCACATAATCCGTGATACGTCGCATGTCGTTTTCTTGAAGGGACCCAATCCTTAGCAACATGGACCGTAACTCATATACATATTCTTCCACTGTGTCGGTTGACAAGGATAACCCGCTTGGTGCTCGTACATGGAGTCCTTCAAACACATCCGTCACGCATCGCTTGAAATCATAGAGTCGTCGGTTTTCTTCTCGCATGCGTTGATTTTCTTGGTTGGCCGCTTGTAAACGTTGTTGTAATTCGGCAACTGTTGGCCCTGCTGCTGTTCGTTCTTTGTATTCATTAGTAAACCACGCTATTGTACTTCCACCCACAAAACTCACGTGATCCTGGATAAAACTCGTCAAGCACCTCCATAAGCTTGTTTCGCATAAGTGATTTTTGATATTCGGTAGCATCATTGGAACCATCTATCGTCGTCGACTTCCTTGGTCTAAAAAGACACATGGTTAAGAAAATCCGATTCAATGATAATCATGACGATGATACTTTACCCTTGATATATTGAAGGCTTGCGATCCGGTTGAGCATGTCGACGTTCAATACCATTCAAAACATCGTCAAATGCAGTGCTCGCATGGGGTATAGATGGCTGTGGTGCCGCAGGGGTTGTAGGTGTTGATGGTGGTTGTACATTGCGACGTTGTGCCAAAATGTCCGTTTCAATCTTTGATAAGACCCAAATTAGTATCACGCAATACATAACATTGCATACACAACTACTACTCACCTCTTCCAAGTTTTTAATCACAGATCCCGATGGCGCAGTTGGTGTATTAGGTTGATGGTAGTTGCCGAATCGTTTTGGTCCACCGCCATTAGGTGTGGGAGGTCGTTGGCTTGGCATCAAATGACCCTTGTTGGGAAGCTTTTGCTTATACGGTTGTGGTGGTTGACCATTGGAAGAAGAAGAGGGTGGCTGTGGCTGTGGTGGTTGTGGTTGCGATGACATGGGTTGATTTCCAGTGGTGGTGGTGGTGGTGGCAGCAGCAGCTTGTGTCATAGGAGGAGGAGGAGCAGCAGCAGCAGCAGTAGAAGAAGTAGTCATAGGTGATGATGATCCCATACTTGATGATGGCTTTGTGGTATCCAATGCAAGTGAAGGACTGGCGGTTTTCATTGATGCTGATTTTGCCTTTTCAACCTCTGATTTCCTACGCTTTGCTTCGAGACGATCCTTCATTGATAGAGCGGGTGATGATGAATGACCATTGCCAGAAGAAGAGTCACTGCGGGGTGTCATGGCGGGTGATTTTTTGTTGTCTGCGGTGGTGCCCATATGATCATCAGAATCACTTTGATCACTCAAGAATAAATGTAAAGGACCAGCAGGCATTCTTCGTCCTGGAATGGAGGGTGCTCTTCGTTTGGTGGATGGATTGGATCGTGACTTGCTCCTCTTTTTTCCTCGAATGGATGATGATGTCCCCATATCTTCATCTTCGTCGTCATCATCATCATCATCGTTGTCGCCTTCAGTGTGATCCTCATCATGGTCGTCATCCTCATCCATATCATCTTCTCCTTCACTGCTCTCAGAATCAATCAACTCCTTTTGAAGCAATCGTCTTCGTCGGCGTGTGGGTGCAGAACCATAGCGTTTTTTGGGTCGTTTATCATTTGCGTCCTGAGGTTGATGTTCAGTGCAACGAGGTGAATAATCATCAGGGATGTTTTTGGTGATGGTGATGTTCCCGGCATTGACACCACAAGTGACATGAAAATATCTGTTACACATACATGTGCATTAACAACAATGTTGCCGATCGCATTGATTCTCAGTCCGTACCTGGTACAAGAAGCTTCCTCACACTTTATGCAAATGCCTTGTTTGTTGCCACACTTGTAACATTCCTAAAAGACGACCACCCCCCCCATTGTAAGCAACAAGGAATGATATTTAGAAAAGTAGTCGTACTTACATGTTTATCGATCTCACTCTGGATCACATCGTAGGGTTCTCGTTGATGATCGATAGACTTGTTCCATCTTGCACACACAACATGAATGAAATCCCCTGACTTTGTTGTCAGCTTGAATGCACCTGTTTGCATAGGACAGCATCGAATACGCTAATAACAAAAACGATATGAGCATCCTATTGGTGTTGTTGTCTCGTATGTCAACGCGACTTACTGTTGGCTTATTGCGTCGCTTGTTTTCACATTTCTGGCAAAACCATTCGCCATCGGGTACCTGATCTACGCCATAGCAATCTACCAAAGAAGGTTACGACCACGAATAGCGGGTTAATCGAGTAGCAATTTACCTTTGTGAACTGGAATGTTGCAGTCTATCGGTTGTGGGAGGGGGAATAAAAGAGACCAAGTTAGAGAATGATCCAAAAAGGGCAGAGCTGAGTGTTTTACCTTCACCATCACAAAATACGATTGGGTTCTTTTTTGTCGAGCGATCTCCTTCACAGATAGTGCACGCATCCTATATCCCTAACTCCATTAGTATGACTTGCAGGAATAAAAAGATAGAAACTAACATACGTCATCGATCGCCATGGTGTCGTCGTTAAAAGTCTTTTCAGAGACTATGCTTGTAGTAATGGGAATTGGTATCAGTGGAGGGAGGAGGTGTGGTAGTGTGTGTGTGTGTGTGTGTGTTTTGGGGGAGGGTTGTTGGAAAAGAGGGGGTGCCAGCTAGTGGTAGTAGTAATAGCAGCAGCAGCAGCAGTAGCAGTAGTAGCAAAGTAAAGCTTGGTCAACAGAAAACGCGATAGGCAGCAAAAATTCAAGCTGCGATCCCCTTTGTAAAATCTCTCTCACTCTCAGATGCTGCAAACACAGCAAGGGAAGGAAAAGGCAAACTCCCCTTGATTCAATGTCCCTCTCGCTTTATAAAAGAAATCTTGAAAACCCAGTCACAGACCGCCGCTGAGAAGAAGGTTGCTTGGGTGATGTTGCGTTGTGTATTCGACATGCCACACACATCCTCCTCCTCCTCCTCCCTTCTCGTTGCTATGCCCCCACTTTGCCCGTTGCTATCGCTACCACCACTACTACCATCATGGCTACCATTACTATAGTTCGGTTGTTTCTTTTATCCCAACATATTAAACTTCATCATTCTATGGTCGTTTTGCAATATGGAACTATTGTTTATTTTGCGTCTTTGTATATCACCAAACTTACTACTCTCATCACCATACCAGCAGCCATTTCCTAATGTATGTCCTCATGATCGCCATCCTTGCATGCAGATGTTCCTGATGAGCTCCATTGAAGCGGTTTACCTATGACCGTTTTGTCTCCGAGACCGAAAGGCAAAGACACTATTTCCAAAGCTTCACGTTCGATGTATCCTCCCTCTCCCCCCCCCACCTCCTCGGTCTCAAGATCGATGCATCTTTTTTTTAAAAGTCTGATGGCAAAAAGAGTTGGTTATCATCACTTGAATGAGAGAGAGAGAGAAAGAAAAGAGAACACGGCCTTCAATGATAATAGTTCCATGAAAGTATGAAGATAGCACGTCAACAAGAGCATGAAAAAGGAGATGACATTAAGGATACAGTACCGATGTCACCGTTTACCTATATTCCACAACCGTACAACCCCCATCAGCAATCATGACGAATACCACCAATAGCGACCGAAAAATACTGGTGCACACAGCAGCTGCATTTCAAAGTCTGTGCCCTTTTTTGTTGAAATCTGAGGATGGGATGGTTTCAGCTTGATGCATGGTTACTTGCAATGGCCGAGAATAAAACAACAAAAAGAGTAAACCATCACTTTGCAACTGGTAGGATGTGATGGGATGTGTGTGTGTGTGTGTGAACATGGATGACGCATGGATCCAATTTCCTTGTACATGTCCTACCTTTGTGCATGATCTTCACGAGAACGAATAATTGGCATATACGCGGGACCAATGGTCAATGCTGGGGATAAGGCAGTGTTCGACCAAGATTACTTTTAGAGATTCACATCAGCCTTAGCCAATACGCCCCGTGACATGTACCATTATCCTTTGATCCAAATGACACAATGCGGTATGAGCACGTGATCACCGCTGATTTAAAAAATGATACACAGCATAGCGATGTAGAAGCACCTTGGCAATTGTTGACTGGATTAGAATAAAGCAAGCATTGGCATTATGAACAAAACGTGGTATATAAAAAAGAAAGTAACGCTATCCATAAGTTCAAAGTTTATTGAAATTGACGTTTGGTTGGAAAGGAAACGTAAACAATAACGTTTGTATATAGCGTGGCATTACAGCAATGCGTTCAAGAACCAGATGTATGTGTTACACAAGTAGCAGGATCTGCATGACAAAAGTGCTATCCAGGGATGATCTTCAATCGCATAAACTCATATCATCATCATCAATGAAACGTTAGCAAGTATCAATTTGACGTTTTATTATTTGGTCTGCTACCCTGCTTTAGTATTTTTACCAGCCATAACTTGGGAGATGACTTTTTTTGTGAAAGTAGGCTATGCGTTTGACATTATCTATATCAAGTTAGATGCGCATGTGTGCCAAAAAGCTGCCCTTAAGAGAACACGTGATCATACCGCAGGAGCGGATCTCGGCATGGAAAGCTTGCTTCATCCCCCACGTGGATCGTTTTTCGATTACAGTACCTTCCGCAAGTGCTGTCCCATGTTTTCACCCGTATGTGTCATCCATTAACTTATAAAAGGGTGTTGCATCATTATTCTTCCATATAATGATTATCACAGCAACAATGGTTTTCAATGACGGAATGTTCCTACTACAATCTTTTGCTGCTCCACAAAGTCTATTTTACCCATCAGGAATAGGGAGCGTGTGTAGATCAATATGATTAGCCAATTTGAAGGTTGTTGGATCAAGGACTACAGCATAAGGAATCAATGGATAAAAAAGTGGAAGCAGCAAAAAGCAATCCTACCATGCGAGTGCATTGCTTAACAAGCATCGTTGAGTAGTTAACCCATTGCTTCAAATCAATAGGGAGATGGTAATTACGGCATAGTGTAAAAAAGTGGATGATGTCTTAGACAAGGGGATCGGCACTCCAATTTTGCCGTGATTTTGATGCAGCGGGTGAACGGCTGTCAGGTGCCGAAAAGTGCGTCAGGGTCATCCGGCCGCCTTGACTCAAAATTTATGAGCGGATCTTCCTTTGCCCAGAAAGATCACCACGTGGGAAAAGGTTATTGCCGCCCAAATAATATCGGCGCTTGCACGCTTACTTGTATAGACGATGATGTGGAGGATCCGATAGCATAGGAAAGACTTAGCCCACACGCACATACATGCCATAATGCTGCGGCAAAGTGGCGTAGTATTATTGAGGGGGCTATGTATCTTGGCATTCAGGTTGGTTCTATTTGGCGGAAATACCCCAAGGCAAATTGTTGCGCATTGACCAAGGAAACATCAGAATAATGAGGGGGATCACACACATACATTACACGTGGAGCCTTCTTCTGGCACCACCTCCGCAAGTGATTTTTTTATTGTTGGAGAGGTAGCTTTTGTTAAAGTGGGGGTGGGATCATGGATCAGAAACCTCTAGTTGTAGAATAAAAAGGGGATGATCTATGGGCCGTGTCATCATTGTTTACTATTTGCACCAATGTATTTTGTTCAAAGAATCAGAAACAAGTGAGATTGAATGATCCCGGAGGGATGGGACGACATGCCCGCATGCCCGTGGCGATGATTCAAAATGATTGGATCGGAACGTAAAGAACCGGTATGAGGATTTTCGAACAAGGAAAAAATCGTGCCCTTGAAAAACCCGCTGGGTATACATCCACAACGCTATATATATAGGGCACACAAACTTGGTGTTCCTGATTTCCAGTTTTTACCCATCTTTTATTTACCCAATGTCAAAACCTACCCCCTTTGCTACAGACAACAAGCATGTCATGCTATTAATAAGTGCTCTTGGTGTAAGCACTGTGGCATGGCTTGCCACTCGTTATCTTTTCGGAAGCTCTACACCTACTCCACCCCCTTCGACTCCACCCATGCAAAAACAAGAAGAGGAGAATACAATGAACTTTGTTCAAATCATGAAACAACAGGTAAAGAAATACACACACACACGTATATCAATGCAGCAAGTTTACTCATCATGTATGTATATGTATAGAATCGTAAAGTGGCTATCTTTTATGGATCACAAACGGGTACTGCTGAAGACTATGCCAAACGCCTTGGCAAGGAATGCAAGAAACGATTCAATGTCTCTGCCCTTGTGTTGGATATTGAGAATTGTGACATGAGCGTATTGGATCAATTCCCTGAGGATGGTGTGGCGATCTTTGTCATGGCAACGTATGGTGAGGGCGAGCCTACAGACAGTGCACAAGCCTTCTGGGATCTTCTCGACGCACCCAAGTTTTCACAAGAGAGTGATAGCGAGCAACCCTTAAGCAATCTCCGATATCTGATGTTCGGATTGGGAAACAGCTCATACGCATACTTCAATTGGGTTGGTAAACTTGTGGATGAAAAGCTGACGGGTCTTGGTGCTACCTTGATTGGTGAACGTGGACAAGGTGATGATGACAAGTCCTTGGAGGATGATTTTGAAGCATGGCAAGAAGCCCATTGGCCTTTGTTGGCTGATATGATTGATGATGGAGGAGATGCATCCAGTGAAAGCAGTGGTCCTGATACGTCGTACACTGTGCAAGAGTTAACTGATGGGTGCAACGACAAGCACGTGTATTTGGGTGAACTCGGTGAAAAGGAACAAGTCGCATGGGATGCTCGCAAGCCCTATCCAGCCCCCTTGGCAGTATCACAAGACTTGATGACGGATTCAGATCGCCATTGCCTCCACTTGGAAGTCGACATGGCTGGCTCAGGAATGACTTATGAAACAGGTGATCATATCGCTATTTGGCCAAGCAATAACGAAGTCGAAATCATGCGTTTGGCTCGTATCCTTGGTTTGCACACGAAGCTTGAAACAGTCATTTCAATCAAGGCTGTCGATGATATGGCTGTCAAAAAGGCTCCCTTCCCACAACCCACCACTTACCACGCCATGCTTCGTCATTATCTCGACATTTGCCAATTGCCTTCACGCCAAGTGTTACAAATGCTGGTGCCTTTTTGCCAATCCCCCGACGTCGCTGCACAACTTCAAACCTTGGTCAATGACAAGGATGAGCATCGCAAGACCGTGTTGGAATCCGTACGCAACTTGGCTGAAGTTCTTGAGTACGTTATCAACAAGGCTGGATTGGAGAGTGTTGAGAACATGTTCAAGGTGCCATCTGAGGTGGTGATTGAGTGCTTTGGTCGCTTGCAGCCTCGCTATTATTCGATTTCTTCCTCGTCAAGTGAGAGCCCTGATCGCGTCAGTGTAACAGCTGTGACACTCCAATATCATCCCGAACCAACTCCCGATCGCACCGTATTTGGTGTCAATACCAACTATTTGTGGGCTGTTCATGCTGCTCTTCAAGACACAAAGCATCAAGATAACGTACCACAATACGCAATTGAAGGTCCCCATGGACAATACTTTGATCATGCCAACCGCGTTGCCAAGCTACCTGTACACATTCGCCGCTCCACATTCAAGTTGCCTACCGACACTACCAAACCCGTTATTATGGTTGGCCCTGGTACTGGTGTAGCACCCTTCCGTGGTTTCGTACATGAACGTGTCCATCAACGTACGCAACTTAACAAGCACGTGGGTCCCACTGTCCTTTACTTTGGTTGCCGTCGCGCTTCAGAAGATTTCCTTTACAAGAACGAATGGCCCGCTCTCTTTGACAAGCTCAGTGATGACAACCAATCTCGTATCATCACTGCCTTTTCACGTGAATCAGATAAAAAGGTCTATGTCCAAGACCGCCTCAAGGAAAATGGCGAGGAAATGTGGGATCTTATTCACAACAAGGGTGCCTATGTCTATATTTGTGGTGACGCTAAGCGCATGGCCAAGGATGTTCAACAAACCATTACCGGCTTTGCCAAGCAATATGGTGGATATGAAGATGATCAAGCTATTAGCTACGTATCTCAATTGCGACAAGATGGCCGATATCAAGAAGACGTTTGGGCATAAGCCTATTCCCTACCACTCATATACTCATCCTCCTCCTCCTCCACATCCTCCTCTTCTTCTTCTTCCCCCTTCGCTTATTAGATTTGATATTCTCATTGCTCTTATCTCCATTATTTTCTTCCTTGTATATCCATTCGCATTTCATTTTGCTGTTCCTCTTCCACTACTGCATTATTTAGACTGTACGCATAATGAGCAATCCATTAATACAGTTTCTTGTCATTTATCCAACACCTTGGGTTTGTGTATATATATGTGTGTGTGTGATCAACGGGTATGACCATCTCCATTGTACCACTTTTTTTCTCCCCCCCCCCTTGGATGTTTCAATGAGATGCACAGTTTCATCACCTTTATTTTACTTGAGTACATAAAAAGCTATCCCCAAAAGAGGATGTATGGGTCTGTTACTAGCAAAGTTGGGAAATGTGCACTGACCGTGGTCCGTGGGTAATGATGATTGGGGAATCGGTATGTAAACGGAACCATTTTATCATTACACCCCCCCTCTCTTTTGATCATTTGTTGCACAGAGAGTCACCGGCAGATGATCATCAGACGCCTTGCTCAAAAAAAAGTTCCTTTTGTTCTTTCTTTTGTTTTCTTCTCATTCGCTCGTATATATCATGGTGACGATCGACACACAACTCAACGAGCGTATCTTGCAACAAATCAAATGGCAGCATGGCATACTACCTTCAGGTCGTATCTCCAAGCACAAATGCTTTGTGCTAAAGGCGATGCCAGTGATCAAGCTGCTCGTCGACAAAGGAAAACGGCCTGCTACACTATTAGTCACGCAAAGCGAATGGACAGCAAATCTTGTTGAATCAGCCGCTTTATGTAATCTCTATGATGATTCAACACTGCAAGCACTCGCTGAATGCGCCATGATTTTCCATCGCCCTGAAAAACCCAAAGAAGAAACATTTCACCTGTTGTATTACGACACACACGCCTATTTCCGAGTGAGCGATGTTTTGCAACCTACAGCCAAGTTTCAGCAAGCACTCGATCCTGTGCTTGAGCATTGGCCAAAAGATCCCGCTCGTGCATGGCAAGGCTTATGCAGAGTGTGGTATGAGTTTGGATTTCTTTGGCCACGAAAAATCATGCTTGGTAAGATCATCCCTTGCTTTACAACGTGTTGCTAATACATGATGCAAAAGGTTTACGACACCATTTTAAAAACACGTACAGCGTAAACAATCCTAATCCTAATCGACTCAACGAACTACGACAAGCACAAGCGTATGATGAAGCGAGCGCACAATTGGAGGACATTTGTGCTAGACGCGTTGGACAAGGTATGAACACTATTGAAAAGTGTATGTATCAAAGATACTTGCTAAATAGAACGGTATTAGCCAGAATACCAATCGCAGCAAGATAACCCTACTCATTCACAACTCAAGGAGATTGCTCTTACATGGACGATTATCCAACGTAGTGATTTGCGTCCCATACATGAATTTCTTCAACCCGATCAACGCGACATTGTATTGGAGATGATCAACAGCTTTGTGCATAGGATACCTAGTCATCATCCTATCAAATTACGCAGCCTATCAACGGGTGGTTATCTTTCATGGCGGGCACAGCCACATCATGCAACAGCAGCCAACACCAAAATGACGACGTCTTCTTCTCCATCATCATCATTATCATCGTCAGCAGCAGGTGCCACTGTTCTTTTTGCCACATGTCCACTTGCAGCGATGGCGGCAACACAAAGTCAATATTTATGGCGATTGGATTGGGCTTTGCCTTTTGATGAAAAACGAGTCGATATGGAAGCTCATTATGCAGGGGGATACATTCGATGTGGGAGCCGAGTTTATTTGTATCCTGCTAGTACGACATGTCACACAAACGACAAGCAGCACAGATCATCTACGACGACGAAATTGCTCACACGCAGCAGCCCTGTAACCTCTACTACTGCTACATCGCATGTGACACAAGATCAACAACATCCAGCAGCGGCTGAGCGTTTACGCAGCCTTGAATTGTTGGCAATAGGTCAAGGTAGACAATGCCGTGAGCATCAATGGACGATAGAAATGGAAAATTTGGGATTGGAATACGAGGATGATTTAGCAGCTGATACCAGTCGTAACGTGGATGTTGCCATTGGAAGACGTCGTCCAGTGCTACATGGCGACATTATTGCATTGCGTCAAGTCCATTATCTTTGTTCCTTAGCTTCACCCACAACATCATCATCTTCATCAGCAAGTCCACTACTAGCTTCGTTGAAACCCACAATACCAGCGGCACTCACCACAGCCGCTATTGCATCACCATCCATGACAAATAGTAGCACGAGTCTCAGCAGCGGGAGTCATTATCATCCACAACAACGCTCCAGTATTCTCTCATCACCCACCATGGGTGGTAGTAGTACAGCCAATACTAGTATCAACAATGATGCTGGTATCTTGCGATCGGTGCTTGCCAAGGAAATTGGATTTATACAAGGCAGCTTTGAACATTTCTGGATGATTGAAGTGGCTTCTCCTCAAGATTTGCAATACCATCAATGCGTCATTGATCCAAAAAAAGAGGTAAATAAAGCATCTGTTTGTGTGTGTGTCTTTGTTTTAATATGGGTCATTGCCATAGTCAACATCAAGCAGCACGCCGCAACAACAACAGCCGACCAAACCATCTTTATTAACGACGGAGGCATTGAATCGAGAAGCACCCTTAACAGATCTAGGACGTCAATTGAAAGCATATAGCGACAGCTTTGAGAAATTGGTTGAGCCCAACACCACCACCACAACAACAACGACAATAGGGATGCCATCTTCCTCATCAGGTGAAATAATGATCCATCCGGCTCCACGACCCATAGACAATGACGACGACAATGACGAAGAACAAGACAATGACGAAGATGATTGGGATGTTTGTGCAAGTGGTAATGCCGAGCCATTCATTCGACTTTATGCCTCCAAACAACGTACCAAAACAGTATCACATTTGGTAAAAGCAGGGTCATTGGCACATCTCGTTGGTAAACACTTTACTCATTAAACTTGATTATCATTCTTTTTACGCTTTTTCATTCGAATACGTTCCAGCATGCGTTGTTCTGCTTCCTTTACAGAGACATTGGGATCATTCAAAAGAGAGATGGTGGGTGGTGATGATGTTGATTTCATGTTTTGTCGAAATCGTTGTACAACATCGCTCATTTTGGGTTGATGATGGGTCGTCTCACGTGGTCGAATTCTGGGTGCTTGATCGTCATCATCATGGATGGTTTGATTGGGTATCATTGTGAGATAGGAAGAAGGACGCTTGCTGTTGTTGTCGTCGTCGTTATTTGGATCATGTTGAGACATGATACACACCTCTTCATCGTCTTCGTCATTTACAGCTGTATCCGATATCGCATCTTGTATTCGGTCCAATACATTTTGAAAGTCACGATGAACGGCTTCTCGGTCACGGTTTTCATGTGATGTTGGTGGTGGTGATGACTGTTTTTGCTTTTTCACTGAGGATGCTTTTGAAAAGTCAAGTGTGGTTTGTCGTGTATTTTGCATAGGGGAGAAGAAGGGAAAAGAGAAGAGAGAATAAACGAAGACGCGTGTGTTGACTCGTTAGACAAAAACAGCAATGGCGGTCACTTCTCCGACATTAGACTATTCCAGCAGCGAGTGTAATATGCATGATTGTGTGAAATACATGGGTTGGATAGTAGTAGAATAAGGCCATTTATTGCATTAACCATCATCATTGTCTACCATGAGTGATAAATAACAGAGGAGGATATGAAGGGAATCAAACAAAGTAGGTAGGATAGTGTAGAGTGATCGCATACTCAGCCAATGCATAGGAGATGAGAGTCTACTTGCCTAAATCAGGCGCGTCTCTTTCACTTGACATACCGTTTACCCTTCACACAGACCCACTTATGGGGAACCAACACTCCAATATGGCACACAAGGACCGTCAAATTCACCATTTTGGTCACCATGAAGAATACCACCTCGAGATACCTGACATGGTCGACGATCGATTCAAGGTGGAAAGCCGCTTAGGTGCAGGAAGCTTTGGTGTACTTCATGAAGGTAGAATGCTGTACACCATGTCACATGTCAATGGGTGCTCATGGGAGAAATAGGTGTCAATGTCGAGACCAACCAACCTGTTGCTATAAAGCTAGAACCAGGCAACTGCCGTGTCCAACAATTACAAGACGAATACAGGATTTATCGTTTGCTCGGTGGAGCAGGTATGTAGAGTACTTTATTATTCTCAACCATCTTATGACTCATGTGCTTTCTTCCTTCTGTAGCTGGATTTCCAAATGTTTACTATTATGGTCACAAGGGTGGATACAACATTATGGTCATGGATCTTTTGGGACCCAATCTCGATGAGCTCTTTGGTCTTTGTGATCACCAATTCTCACAAAAAACAGTGGCGATGCTTGCAAAAAGAATGGTAAAGGGATTGGCATGTGAATCGTACACACACACACACACCGGTATATTGATTGATCCGTTTGATCGGGTTCTATATAGCTACGCTTGCTCCAGGTGGTACACGATCTTGGTTTGATCTACAGAGATGTGAAGCCCGACAATTTTCTCATTGGGCGTCCCAAAACCGACACTGCCAATGCGTTGTTCATGATCGATTTCGGTATGAGCAAGCCCTATCGTGATGAAAAGACCGGTGCACATATCCCTTTCAGAGAACGTGGATGTATATCGGGAACGGCTCGTTACATGAGTCTCAATGCCCATGAAGGAGGAGGTAAATACATGACGACGACCACAACAACAACGAGTATACCAATCGATGGGTTATTACATAGAGCAATCACGTCGCGATGATTTGGAATCCTTGGGTTATGTGCTGCTATATCTTTTACGGGGATCATTGCCATGGCAAGGTGTCAAGGAGGCAAATCAGGAAGCAAAATACGAACGGATTGAGGAACTCAAAAGGAAAACGTCCATTGCTCAATTGTGTGCAGGGTTTACAGGTATGTTATAATGGGTACAATGTGGGGGGGGGGAGACAAGACGTTGATCATTGATTCCTTTTGCTATAGTGGAATTTAGCATTTATCTCCATTACGTGCGCAAGTTAAAGTTTGATGAGGATCCAGATTATGCCTTTTGTGTATCGTTGTTCGACAAGGCGCTTAAGCGATTAGACGCACAAGATGATGAAGAATACGATTGGATGCTGATTAATGATGGGAAAGGATGGGAGGTATGTAGCACGACATTACTACTGGTGGGATGGCATACTAAAGGTTGACTTTGTGAAATAGGCTTCTGAACGAAAGAAAAAGGAGCCCTTGATGTTAACGTATTAAGTAATAGCAACATGATGTAATATACCATTTGTCCATTCCAAGCTTATTTATCTTGTTGGTGGGAAGGAATACGTGTGATTATGGAGGAGGATGAAGATGCAATGTTTATTATCTATGTGTTGTTTCTATTATTTGGATCCAAGGATATGCTCTTTGGCATGGACCATGTGCACAAGAAATTCATTCGTTGGTGCGGGTATGTTTCGCTCACGGGCCAGGCGAACGAGATAGCCATTGATATAGTCGACTTCGGTGAGGCGTTTGGCTTTCATATCTTGTACGGTAGAGCAATAATTACCAGCGGCAGTCTTTAGCATCCCTTGGACAAGCTCAACAAGTTCTTCAGCGGTGGCATTCAATTCAGTGAGGATTTGGGCAGCTTCGGTACATACGCCGCGGAGCAAGGCTTGGCCATTTGGATTATGTAATAATTCACCGTTACGACTCTCGAGAATAGCAGCAATGGGATTGAGACCTGCGTTGACGACCAATTTACGCATCATACGTCGCCGTAATTCTTGCCAATCGTAGACATGTGTGTTGAGCTCTGGTATGTCTGCAAACACCTTACACACCTTATTGGTGAGGGCTTGATTTGAATGTGGCATCGCTCCCAGCATGAGACCACCTTCAGGGTCATTCCATCCAGAACAATGGACTATATCAAATGGCTTTACTCGCTCCACAGAATGACGATTGACACCCACAATGAAGGAAGGCCTATTGTTTCCACCACCAGCAGCAGTAGTAGTAACCTTGGGCCAAAGTGTTTCCAACAACTCCTCGGCTAAACCCATACCATTTTGCAACAGCACAAGGGTACTTTGTGGCGTCAAGCGTTGTTGTACGGAACGTACAGCATCGACAGCATGCTGTGCCTTGGTTGCCACCACCAATGTTTCAATCGGGTTATTGTTATCGCCGTTCAATGATTCAGCATCAAAGCCAACAATTTCAGAACGTCCTTTATCAGAGCGAGTATACGAGATGGTATTACGATAACGCTGCTCAAAGTCATGCACAGCATTCTTGGAACGAAGTAAAAGGGTCACTGGCATCCGAGGTCGCAATACAGAAGCAATGTGTCCACCAATAGCACCTGTGCCTAAGATATGGAATCGCATTGTTGCATACACACGTCAATAAAGATTGGCTATGATGTGGAATTTGATTAAGAAAAAGAGAGCGAGAGAAGGATGACGGGAAAAAGATGGAGGTGGTATAGATGGTGGCTTTTTATTCATTTACAACATTTACGCTTATCTTTTGACTTGTATTCTCTCAAAGAGCGTGACACAAAGAGCTCCTCTTGTAAATCGCGGTTCCTGAAACTCGAGCATTTACTTTCCCACGATAGTTGTCAAAGCCATGGTTGTCTTTTGTACTATCGGGATACCTACCGAGCCATCCGATTCATTTGCAACACAATAGCAAATACCGATAAACAGCATGCAAATGGGGAAATATGGCATTGCACACTCACATTAACAAAGGATAAACTTTCAACTGGTAGTTAAATCCGAACAACCGGAGATGGCAATGCATTGTAGCCCGCCCCCTTTTTGCATTACTTATCAAAGCAGTCAACTTGCACAATAGATTGATTGTCGGCGATAAAGCGGTACTCCAAGTATTATTTTTTTTTCGACAAGTCCAGAATTACAAAGCTATCCACGTGTATGTGTGTGTGTGTGCCGCTTACACATATGCATAGCAATGCAAGAAGGTGACACGGATGTTGAAAGATTAATCCAAGGTTAGGATTATCATCAAGCAATGATGATCTTGTATCATCAGTTGTCATGCACATGCAAAATGACGTGATTGTCTCTGCTATCATCCTTGCAAATTACATCGCCAAGACACACAAGCGTACGCAACAAATGATTGATGGTTGAAAACAGCGCCATCAACGTTAAAGTATACATGACCATGAGCATCCCTGTTTAAAAAATGATAATCGCCGGCTCATACACCATTGGCGAATGGATTCGATAGATATCCAGATACCCTCTTCCCACCTCAAAAGTGGAAATCATGCCCAAAAAGGGATATCCGGCGCATCAATACTCTTCATTGTACATCGCTCTTTTATGTGCTCCCAACATTAATATCGCTACTTTAAACATGTGGTAGGTGTGTATATTCTTCTTCAGGTAGGAGATCAGGTTACAGAAAAGTTTGGTCATCACCATCATCACCGTTATGTAAATATGGGAGGGTTCTAATAAACACATACAAAGATTTCTTTTATGTTTCTTGGAGTAGAGATGTATCGATCTAGAGGGTCTAAAAGCTTGGTATATACATAGGATGCTATAATGGGGTCCATCTTAAGGCCTTGTGTAAACTTCGATTTGAGCCTTGCTTTCATCGAGGACGAGCGTATCCTTGATTTGGCGTCGCGTATGTTGACAATGTGTGTAACGAATGCCTTGATGCCGAGCCAAAGTACCATGATCATAATGTCGCAGCTGTATGAGGGAAGGCTCTTATCCACTTTTTCTTCGATCTCCAATGGTTGCCACTCCTGCGTTCCTGCGTCCGCCGTAGCTTAAGGTAAGCGGGATGATCCAGAGATGGTCGCCGTGGCCCAAAGAGATAGTGTAAATGTTGCATGGATACAGCCATAAGCAAAGATAAGGGTGTAGAAGGCAGGATCCACCAAGGGATGAGGAGGCCATGTGTGTGCGCATAGACGAGACCCACCTGTCAAACACGAGGTTGAGCTTGATTTCCCTCAACTTTATCTCTCACTTTTTACCTCACTCTTCTCTCCTTGAAATGGGTTCTCAACAACAGCAAACTGTCAATATCACCGATCTCGATCTTCCTTCATTGCAGCAGGTGAAGACGCAACTTGAAGAGGTACATTTGGGTTGAAAGCAGTAAACACATCCACCGAGGCATCGTGTTGACATGGAAGTCGCGTCGTTGTATTCTACCAGGAACTCTCTCATCTGACGCAATCTTATGGCAAACTACGTGGAGCTCAAGCGCGTTTCTCTGATTGTGCTGATAGTGTCGAGTCATTGAAGAGTGAAAAAGCAGATGGTAAGATTACAACCTTGACCCCATGGCGTAATAGTGTCTATTCGCTCATACAATACCTTGTAGACAAGACCATCTTGGTGCCGCTCACATCATCGATATCCTTTCTTCTATATCCAATGTTACGCACTAATCATATTATATACTCAGTCCTTAACTCTGTAGCTGTGATGTGATTACCTCTATGTTCCTGGCAAGTTGAGCGACGTGGAAAAGGTCATTGTTGATGTTGGTACTGGTTACTATGTGGAAAAGGTAAGGATGGTAAAGGCTATATGCATGAGATCACCTCCTCATACGATATGGGCAGAGCTTGGATGGTGCTACGTCATTTTACAAGACCAAGGAAGAATACGTCAAGCAAAATCTCGAGAAGCTTCAAGAAACAATCAATGGAAAGCAAAGCAGTTTGAGAGGTAGAATTGGATTGGGTTGGATTTATGGTACAATGAATGGGGATTGATCATTGTCTTTTTATGTATAGCTATTGTGAATGTGATGCAAGACAAAGTACAACAACAACAAGCTGCAGCAGCAAAATCATAAAGCGTTTTATTCCATTGAATGTACTTTTATAAAGTTGATATTGGATGAATCAAGAGAATGGATCACATGATGGGCAAATGTCGAATACATAAAGAGAGATGATGGGTATCTAATTGTGAGCAACAAAATAATCCGGGGCCATGTGCTTAATGGGCTGGCTGTGATAATATCGTCCCGCTTCAGTTTCTTCTTTTTAACTCTTCCTCTTCTCACACCCACCACATGCCCGCAGCATCGCCAGACACATTACCGACATCTCCACCCGCCCCATCTCCTTCGCCTTCTTCAGTTGTCACGCCCTCGAGCACGCCCAATGACAAGCAAAAGGATCTAGACAAGGCTGCAGCTGCCAAAGCAAAAAAGAAAAAGAAAGACAAGGCCAAGAAGAAAGCCAAACGACAACGCAAGAACGCGCTCAAGACCAAGATTGTTGTACGTCGATTGCCAGCCAATCTTCCTGAAGAAGTGTTCATGAATGCAGTCAAACGTTGGACCGGCGACGATGTTGTTGACTACAAGTTTTATGTACCGGGCAAGGTTACGCAGAGGTATGATTTCTATTGCAACAATTACCTCTATCCAAGTGGACTCATTCCTCTCTTTTATAACAGCAAAGGCAAAGAAAATGTTTTTTCTCGTGCGTATTTTCATATGAAGACCATGGAGGCAGTCATTGCATTCCATCAAGGATTTGATGGCCATATCTTTGTGGATAATCGAGGTATGAAGGGAGGGATTATGTGGAAGGATATGGAAGATAGCTAACAAGCGTATGTGAATAGGCAATGAAAGTCGAGCTGTTGTTGAGTTTGCACCCTTCCAAAAGCTACCCAAAGAGCAAAAGAATCCTGACTCTCGTCAAGGCACCATTGATGAAGGTAAGAGAGTGATATGCACACATCACACAATTCGATCTCTGACATCCATTTTTAGACCCTGATTATCTAAAGTTTTTGGATTCGCTCAAAGCCGAACAAGAAAAGAAGGATGAACCTAGCGACGTTGGTGAAGGTGGATCACAATTGGAACGCTTGGAGAATAGGTTGGCCATGGTGACAGGTAAATGAGAGAGATTCATCCTATCCATGATGATGATATTGTATTCACACTTCCAATGTCAAATAGCACAAACGCTTGCAGCTGAACAAGCCAACAAGCCCAAGACGACCCCACTCCTTGAACACATTCGAGCCCAAAAAGCAGCACAGGCAGCAGCGAGAGCCAAGGCACAAGCAGCCAAAGCAGCAAAGAAATCCATCTTGAATCGAGAAGCCAAGGCCAAAGGTGCTGCCAGTGGCAAAGATAGTCCATCTGGAGAGACACCCAAGAAGTCGAGTCGACGCAACAGGAAGAAAAAGGACAAGGAAAAGAATAAGGAAAAGGATGACAACAATGCAGCGGCTGCTTCGAATGAGAATCCAAAGGCTGACAAACCGCCAAAGAAGGAAGGTGGCAAGTCCAAGAGGTCCAAAGCAAAGAAAGAAAAGGATCAACAAGGTGGCAGTGGTGGCAGCAGCAGCAAAGGCAAACAGGTCAATCAACAAAGCAAACAACAGGTTGTATCCATCCTTGGTCGTCAACAACAACAACCACAGCAGTCAACAAAAAGCGATGAATCCAAAGCCAAGGGCAACTCAAGTACTGCTCGACGTACCGGTTAAATATACCAGGGAGTTATGGGCGTGGAATTGGAAATGTCCCCCTCGTGCTTCGATTACCCGTACGTTACCGCACCAAGTCGACCATGGAGTATCAAATGTGCAGCATGGTGAACAAACAAAATGCTAGGATAGAAAGAGGAAACTTGTTGAGATGCTGAACAGGATGCGTAATTCTTTAGTGTTTCCCCCATTCCTTTTGCCATTATAAAACATCACAGCTTTTATTATTTGTTATTGACGCTATGTATATGTGTGTGGATCAATGATATGGATCTCCTTATAGCACGTGTGGATTTAACATCCCCCCCTTAACTCTTCACATGGATCGATCGTCATATAAATCGACAATGAGCACACGTTATTGTTAATCGAACGAATGCTATTATCCAGTACTTTCTTGGAATAAAGGCATTTTCGCAACGTTACAGCCTTGTAACAAGGCATCATAGTTATGGATTCATATCATTGGAGGAGGGTATAATTGTGCCGAAGGCCTAGAGCAATGAAGAGCCTTTTGCAGGATTAAAGTACACACTTGCTTGGTGATCCAATCTCGAACATAAAAGAAGAGCCATCGAATGCCATCTTTTGGTACGACACTCTTGGGATGTTACGTAACAACCTTGATACAAAACATTCGTATCTGAACATTATGCTCTATGCGTGGAGCCCTATGCATGACCCTGGGTGGTATCACCATGGATATCAATAGCACACAGAGGCGGTTGGAGCTATGCAAGTGCCATGTGTGTGTGATCATCATATGCTGTCAAATCAAGATGAACCATGTATTTTCGGTCACAGCAGCCTTGTGACCCATCCCAATTTGTACATTGCAGTGGTTCAGGATGACCTCCTGTGGTCATGGATAAGGCTTATTCAAGCGGCACAGTTATACAAACACACATACATACATCGAACGTCAAACTCTAAATGGGTATCTGTTTTAAATGTATGTGCTGCAGCAGGAGCAGCCATGACAAATGCTAAAAGCCCTTTCTTGTGGTTGTGGATGTGGGTTTACATTTTGCCTGCAAAACGACGCAACGTGCCCACGAGGTTGTTTTAATAGAGTTCATGAGATTTGAGTGGCGTTTAGAAAAAAAGTCCCCGATCTCTTGACTTTACCGAGGTAATTGTTCAGTTGCAGCTTATTATATTTCGGAAGCAAAAGTCTCAGAGCGCGCGCGTTTCCCATAGCCAAAACTTTCATTTTGCTTTGATGTTGCTTTAAGCTCAGGAGTATGCTTTAATCCACAAAGGCCTTGGTGGTGGTACCTTTGCAAAAGTAAAGCCCATGTTACATAGGTAACCAAGACAGCGGGAGCCAAAGTGCACGGACAACATGGATCCGCAGGTGAGCTTTCTGCATTATTTCCAATCATTTTGTTTGCGAAACAAGAAGCAATATGTACGAAAAGAGCGGGTTGTTGTGCTGAGATATCTCAACCTTCCAGCTTTGGGCGATATTTCCCTTTCAAGCTGTAACGGGATTGGACGCAAAGCCTGCTGAGAGCCAACCAACCATCCATACGGCGCCCAAAAGGTATATCGTGACTATGGGAAAAAATGAAGGAAAGCTTCCTTATGCGAGCAATGCGCGGTGAGCTATCCCTTCGGGAAAGAAAAAACAGGTTAGACTAGCAGGACTAAAATTACACGCACATCAAGAGCGAGCGAGATGCCTCGTTGACAAAAGGGTCGTATCCATCAAGTGTTCCACAACAAGTACCATTACAAATGTTTCACACACACGTCTCTTACACTCGTCAGCATTGTTTGTTTGCCTCTTTTCAACCAAATGAGCGATGCCATCAAAAAGTATCTCTCTCTCTCTCTCACTACTTCACGCCGATCATTTCCGAAAATAACGTCCGCTATAGCAATTAGCGGATGCTATGTAAAATACATTGCTCGCATACGTTCTTTTTTCGTTTCTTTTGGGGTGGAGGTAGTGGCCACACCAAAAAAGAGTGAGTGAGAGAGAACCAGGAAGGATGAAAGCAAAGGGCAAATAACGCCCAATCCACAATCAGGTCCACCTGGACGAATATGGGAAACCAATTGAGCGGGTATCCCACTTACCATAAGCTGCTCCTCACAACCTTAATGCAGTTTTTTATTGCCCGACTCGAAAAAGGTTTCCAGTTATATAAGATTAGTATTGACTTACAACTTTGTTTTCATCCAGGTTCTTCCTTCTCTTTTTCTCCTTCGATTACTTCCTGTAGCCATTACACTTGAGGAACATTTGAATCGGCAAAAGGAGATAGCAAAAACAGACACACCTATACACAGCAATCGTTCGTCTGATCCATTTTTCTCTATATCAAGTCCGCCAGTGTCTCATATTTTTGCACCTCTATCGGCGCCAATTCTTGCACCTTTTCTTTTCCACCACCCCACACAAACATACAACACGCAAAGCATCAGCTTATCGATATGAACTCGGTGCAAGATTCAAAGGAATGGCAAATGCCTTCCAACCCACTTCCAAGCCCTTCAGTCGCTGATGGACCGATGCACTCATCTGCTGCACATTATCCACCCATGGATCAAGGCTACACACATCCCTTTCCCCATAGTGCTGCACCTCCCATGTAAGTGTTTTTTTCCCTTTACCCACCTTGTGGCAAGCGATGGGGATGCATTGGACATGATGGGCTATGCAAGTGCTTTTGCTGTCAATTATGCGTGGTCTGTTGTTTCGTACAACAGGTACAACACAGCAGCAGCACACAAGTCTCAAGGACCTTTTTTCTTGTCCCCCAAGCTTTTGTGTTCTCCCCCGTCTTTTCCTTTGTTGCACATCCTGCTTGATGAGAGATGGATCATATGATTCAAGGGGATTTAACAAGAATATGGCTCCCACTAAACTTGCTTTGTCTGCTTTTGCTATAGACATCATTCACCATCACCAAGCTCGGATCCAAGATTGCCTGGGTATGAAACGGATCTATTTTTTTTGCAACATGATGCTCATAGTAAATTTTTAGTATGATTGCTGTATCTCAACCCAGCACGCCCCGCCCAACTACAGCAACGGACCCATCGCCCACTAGGAATTCATATACAACACCAGCCTTCCATTCATCACCTTATCCTGGAGCCATCACAAGCCCTGCTACTCCAAGAAAACGGGCTCGTAGTGATTCTTTATTCCCCGCTGAAACGGGCCCTTTTTTCAGCTCTACCAAGCCCTTTGACAATTTGTTTGCTATGGACCGCACTACTTTGTAAGTGATTAGGACAACAAGCCGGGCAAAAGGAAAATAAGGAAGGTTGGAAAATTAACCACATACACATGCTCTCTTGGTAGGTTGTCAGTGAGGATCCAATCGAAAATGGATCGTGGGTTCTTTTTGGCTGATAATGATTGGACATGCTATCGACGCAACTATTTTCAAATCAGCAGCGCTTTCTCGGTGCATGGTTTAAATCATTATTATGCTGATTACGAACCACAATGTCTTGTGCGTAAGGATGATGGTACTTTTATGCCTGTGCGCCGATTTCTTTTGGGTATTTCGGCTCGTGTATCGAACAGTGACAAACGTATCGAGTTGGTGCAGCATACTCCAAAGCGTGACAAGGGACCTCAAATAACGCCACAACCCAAACCTATCACAGCAGGTGGTAATCTTAGCATGAGCTCTGTGGGTACGAATCAAAGCATTGCTACTTTTGAACGCATTCAATTCAAGACAGCTACAGCCAACAATGGCAAACGACGTGCTGCTCAACAATATTACGTGTGTGTCACCGACTTGTATGCCGAAACGGATCATGGTGATCAAGTAAAGATTGCTTCCTGCCAATCGGCACCTTTGGTTGTACGTGGTCGTAGTCCAGGACATTATACGGATGGTCAACAAGATGGTCAACAGCATCAAGCTTTGCCACCACCACCACCTGCGCCACAAACATCGGCAGTACATCCACCACCACCTGGTGGCGAACATCATCCTCATCATCCTCATCATCCCCATAGTGCTATGGCCGCACCTCGTCCTCCTTATACACCTCCTCCTATGATGGCTAATGGTGGCAATGGTGGTGGTAATGGTGCTCAACCACCCAATGGAAATGAGTATTCATCCTATCCTTATTACTCGAGTTACCCCATGTCAATGCAGGCACCATTGGCACCTTCCATGGTAATGACACCACCAACTCCTTCATCAGGTCCACCTCCATCACCTCATCCTTACGCTGCTCCTCCTCCTCAACCTACTCCACCACAGCATGCACCTTCACACCATCCTTATATGCTTTCATCCATGGCTCGTAGCCATTCACAATCGGCTTATTATTGATCACACCACTCCATCACCACCACCCCAATGTAATATCATCTCATCCTTCCCCCACATTTACTCGCGTATTGTAAGTTTTTTCTTTCTTCCTTCTCTATTTCTTCTATAGTCTCTATTTACCTCCCTTATTCACACTTACACTAGTTATGTATCTCATATGATTCTATCTATATATATATTGATTTCTTTTCCTGTCTTGGTTTCAAAGAAATTTATCTATTAGAGTGGAAGAATATGTACAGATCAACCGAGTAATGCATATTTTAAACGCGTGTGCGTGATTCACGTGGCATAAACTAAAACTGCATGATGAGCCTCCTCTTTCTTTCAATCGATCGCATTCGTTGTTCTTCTTCTTCTTACCCGAGCAATCGCTGGATGACTGAGAATGGGTCCAATGATCGGTAGTCGTCGTACAAAGCCGAATACCACAGGGAAGAAATCGCTATACTCCTGTTGTCAGCATTCGCCCATCCACCCATCATCTTGTAATAGTAAACCTTACCCAAATAGATTCAAAAAGCCAAACACTTCAAGAACAAAGCCGAGCACAGGGAACTTTGAGAGAACAAGGAAGATGCCACCCAAAAAGCAAATGGTGCCTCGTATCTTTTCGCGTCGCGTGAAAAAGACAAGCGTACTTCGTGGTCCAATGATAGCTGCTATGCCGCTCAAAAACAAGATCTATATAAAGATATGAGTACATTATCCATAGTGTTGCTGCTGTTACTATAAATATCAAAGACTCACGTTCCCGATCGCCATCAGGCCTGCATCGAACAAGAGCATAACACCCAGCATCATGAAAAAGACACCAAAGGCTGTCAATCCGACACCGATTTCTGATAGATGCCCGTGAACAAAAGAGGTCGTCATGTAGGTAGCAAAACGTTGACTATTATTATACACGTACTCTGGAGGTCACTCAACCACATTGCGTAGGTAGGTATTAGAACAAAGAACAAGGCAAAAGTGGGAGATAAAGTCCTTTAGCCCAACGGAGTTTTTATAGAGTCAAGGCAACCGTTGCTGTGCCAAAAGCAGGATTTGTGTAAATCAATCATTGGTCTTTATCAAGCAGCCGCTTCATCTAAAATATCTCTTTTCTGTCCTAATAATGATGAATACAATTCCTCGGTCCTCTCTTCATGCCATGTGCCTGTGGGTACGGGTGCCATAAAGTTTTGCAGCTTGTCATGCACATCGAATCTACCATGACCTCTGTTAGTTGGGTGGGGTATTACTGCCTTGGTTGATAATAACTCACTTTAATGCACGGCCCTTGCTTCCCTTGTACATTTCCAAACGTTTGCTCTTGTTCTTCTTTTTCTTTTGATTCTCCATACTCTTGCGAGCAGCCCATCGCATGCCATTGGCAATCGGGTCATCCGTATCCACCATACGTGCATCAATCAGCTCTCGAAGTAATTGTTGATAAAAGTCATTGTCGTCAAAAATCTCTTCGTCGTAAGTCATCAAATGTCGATCCGCCTTTCGACCACCTTCCTCTTCCGGTAGTGCTGCTTCCTTCTCATCCTCCTCATCTTGTTCCTTCTTGCCCAATATCTTGTAATCATTACGTTGTAATTGTGTACGTCGAATCAACCGATCCTTGTCATTCATGATATTATCAATTTGCGTCATGACATTCTACAAACAAAAAAGGGTATTAGACGCCTATCTTGAATAGATACAACATCAACAACTTGTATACCTGATCAAATGCCTTGAATTTCTTGTTGAGTCGTGCACTAGAGGCTACCTGCACCTTATTGCTCCACTTTTCTAGAGTCGTATTACGGTATGGAAGGAACCTGGATCACGAGCTAACGTTAGCACTTCATCTTGGAATGTAGTATAGATCCACACTTACACTTCATTCACTTGAGAAATATCATCCCAGAGCTTTTCAATGTATTCGTCATCATCTTCAAGATGGCGTTTTCTGCTGTTCCATGTGTGATCTCCAAATTCAATAGCATCGTTATCCGCAAACATGGATGTCCGCATGTCCAGCAAGTCATCAATCACTTCACGCAGCTCGTTCTTGGTCTCATCCAAAACAGGTTCAATGCCTTCTTCTTTTGCAAGGAAATCAGGCCATGTATCATGCTAATGATGAAAATGAATCAATATGATATGCCCTTCATGGATCATTCATGTGCGTTGTTGTACCTGTGGAAGTTGATTTGCGACATCCATCACCTTTTGCATACGGATGCGGCTTTCCAAAAACCTTTCCCACAATGACTATTTTCAATCCCGTAAGTTTCCAGCCATGGCACACATTTGACAAAGTATTTACCAATTGCTCTCGAACATGTTGACCCTTTTCGATATCGCCTTGTGCGCTTTGTGACATTTTGGAAATCATTTCTCTGTAGACAAACGTACCATTGAGTATATACCGAAACCATCATCCCCATCCAAAAACAAAAACTTACTGCTCCTCTTGTTGTATCCGACGTAATTGATTTTGAACCTCACTTTGATCTTGTTCTTCATCATCTTCATCTTCTTCCTCTTCTTCATCTGATTCGCTTTGTTCTTGTTCTTGCTCATCATCCTCGTCGTCCTCATCCTCATCTTCTTGTTGCACCTCGTCCTTTTGGCCATCGCTAAATCCATTCCAAGACTCGGCATCCTCTTCGGAATCATCATCCTTATCTTCGGCACCATCACTTGCGACAGAATCATCATCGTCCTCCTGGTCCTCATCAACCCATTCGTCGTCAGAGAATAAATCCTTGCGAGTGGCACGTTTGCCAGCATAACGTGGGTCGTCAAGCAAAAATTGCTGGCTGTTGCGTAAAGAGCTCTTGCCTACTTCAACATAGTGCTCCCGTGCCTTTTCGTCATCGACAGTGTCCTCCTGATCAAGGTCGCGATCGTGGAATGCATCGGTAGTATCCTCGGGATCGTAGTCTAAATAGACTCCATTGTTAGATCGATCGATGGTGCGTATATATAGAAAAGCTACCTTTGGGAGCAGTGGAATCGAGATCAGCAAGCTCGTCCAGCAATGATTTCTCTATAGTTGGGTGAAATGTAAGTCCTGAGCAAGGAAGGCCGAGAATCGTGTGCTTACTTGGAGGCATTGGTATATGTGCGAAACTGTCAAAGAGAGAGAAAAGCCTCTATCCAAAAATCCCAGCGACCGCTTTTTTCCTTTCCGTCGCACAGCACACAACAATGCACGTGACCATGCTTAATGAGCTCAACAATACCTCACTTCACACAATGTATCCTCATCGTCCTTGTATCCTCTTGATTCCATTGATTAAAAATAGCCATTTATGATGATGTCTCTATGTACAAAAAGACGATGACTTTATTACAGAAAAAGAAGGGGGTTAACGTCGTACGTGGTGAGAATTGTAGATGGGGTAGTACAATAATGGATGGCATATTTGTTGCTATGCATTGCTGCGTAGCACATGTATAACTTGGAGATAAATGAGACATGATGATGATGACGGATGATGAATGCCATTTCACACATGGAGTGATGGTGCTGCTCTCTCGCTGCTGTTATTGCGTTAACATGACCAGCATGGTTATCAGGGCGGCAATAAAGGCATCTCTTTTCCATGACGGGTGAATGATGATATGAGTAGCGGCGTTTTCATCGCTATTGGCAATGGATGAAGTTGACGTGTTTGTAAATGAGGTACCGGATACACGTGAGGATGAGCCAATTGCCTGTGCAAAACCAATCCGATTTTGGCCCATGTCAAAAACGAGATACGTAGCTCGCAGCACCGTATCACCCACAAGAACAAGGCCACGATTACCGAGCTTAGTGGCTGTATCATTATCTTCCTCGTTCTTGACCCAGGGAGCAATACCAAACATGCATTGTGTGGCCGTATCGAGCGAATCGCCATCGAGTGGAATAAAGAGATCGGTAACAGGCACATGCAAGCGGACTGGAGGATCCTCCACAGGCGTTTCCGAATTAGAAAGAACAAGCTCCAAATGCAGGTTTTGGCTCTTGCGTTTAGCTAAACGACATGGAACAATAAAAGTGCCAGATGCATCATCCAGGACAACATTGGTGCCTGCAACAGCTTCAACGAGTGGTTCAGCCATATCCTTGTCCATGTAGGTTAACGTGGTACCCGTATCAATAATGAATCCTCGTGTGGTTTGGGTAAAGCTGAAATCAAGTGCTGTTGTTGCTGTGCTACCATTGGCATGGTTACCACCATCCTCCAACAAGCGAATGCCTTGACCATGACACATCCAATAAGTGAGTGGCTCACCACTGCTGGCAGGACGTACAGGTGCATAAACAAGATTGCCACGGTACTTTGATGTGTCAATGCCGCCTAATAATAGATCACCTGCCCATCCCTTGTCAAACAAGCTGCCCATGTGGATTGAAAACACAGGCTCGTTTAATAGCCCCTGCTTGGCCAGGCTAAACACAAATGGATCGTATTTTTTTGCCGCTGTCAATCCCGGATATCCTAAACCAAAGATCCCATTGGACATGTGGTCGTTATCCATGTCATTGGCGGCAATGGCTTCCATATCTTGACCCGGTGCCACAATGTTGTCGGTCAATTTTGCAAGTCCAAATTGTTGTTTTTCTACTTGAAGCTGTCCCAAATGCACCGTATCTCTGGCATACGACCCATTCGCATTACCAATGCCATAGGTGATTCGAAAAGGTTCCCCCGTATCTTCATATGTACTTGATTGTGCAGGATCGTATCGCCTAAGTGGACACAGTTGTAATGGACAATCGGTGGATGGTATCCATAAATCGGAGCTGATGATGATGATACGCATGAATTTCATGACATGTAAAAGCCGAGTCCTGTTATCTCACCTTCCCGTGTCTAATGCTACTGTAAAGTTTTGTGGTGGTGTACCAATGCCTACACGCACCAAATATTCGGATCCTTCATCATTATACAATTGGGCTGCACCATGGTGAGGTGATACTGAACGACGCTTAAGATGACGATCGGGTGCAGAAATGGAGGAGGAGGATGAACGTCGAATAGGTAATCGAATTGTATTCGTTGCTAGGCATGCTGCTGGCAACAAGAATATTAAAAGTAATCGCATTGGAAAAGAAGTGTAACAAAATAGACAAGGGATGGAGGAAGAAAGGCCGGGGCCTAAGCGTGGAAAAGGGTGTAACAGACATGGGATGTGTGTGTAGCTTTTTATACTGCCTCTAGGCTTTTTTCTACATCCATGATAATGAACCCCTACACAAGCGAGCCATCGTCTATAGAGAGAGAGTGTGAGAGTGAGAGAGAATATCGGCAATCGGCATGGGGAACAAAAAAATTGACAAGTCCACCCCCGGCTTACGGACCGACGGCTAATAACCCCTCCTCTCAACCATGATTGAGTTCCCTACCAATTCGAGCTAGAAACGAAATTGCCTTTATAGCCGGTATACTACCGCTTCCCATTTTTCTTATAAAACAGCAACATCATTATGTAGCACACGATAGCTTTGACTAAAGAGATGGAGGTGGTGGTGGTGGTGGTGCGGGGGTTGAGGGATCCGAAACCCACAAAGGCCAAAAGGCATCAAAAATTGCCCGATGATGTTGATCTTGTTTTTGCCAAGGAGAGCTGATGATGTATATATTCCATTTGATATTGACTCCATATACTCGAATGTGTGATTACAGAAACGAGACAAAGAAAAAAAAGACAACCTGGGAGTTCAACATGAAAGAAGTTGCATATGTAAAATAATGGTGTGGTGGTGTTGTTGTTGTTGTGTTGTGTGGTGTGTATGGGTGGGGTGGTAGATGGGGCAAATAAAACGGGATATAAGGATTTGAGTACTATGCGCCTGGCTTTGTCAATGCCAATAGACGTCGATCAGTGTATCCAGACTACGGGTAGTAGAACAACAATCAGTTTCCATAATGAGTATGCTTCATTGAGATTAAACTTACACTCAGGAGATCCTGCTCACGTGGCACCCGCATTTGCAGCATAGTTTGGCTCTTGATACCTTGCCGTAATATGCGTCGTAAAGAGTCATCTCCTGCATTAGTAGACCCTGCTGTCAATAGGACGTTGCATACAACCCAATTTCCCCCCACCCAACCACCATGATACTTGCTATTCAATAGACATTTCCACAATCCATCAAAGCCTTTATACTGCAACACCATTCCGGATATCGAATTATCGTTGAATGACAATCGCAAACCAGTAACCAGTGGTTCAATCGTGGCATCCGCTATTTCATCCGGTCATTCATCAACATGACATTTGATCTTCCCTCTCCCCGTTTGTAAGTACCTGATAACTGGAAATAAAGTGTGCGATTAAAAAGTAAATGCTCGACTTGGACAACAATCCCTGCAGCAGGTGCCCTTTCAAAGAAAAAAAAGGTCATTGTTAACCTTTTGCTACACCATCTCTCATACAATTCATTTCTTACATTTCATTGCCAGTGGTAGCAGTATTTGCTGGTGCATTGGCAGCAGCTGTATTGGGAGTGGAAGTGGAGGATGCAGTAGTAGTAGTAGTCGATGGAGGATTGGCAGTGGAGGTATTAGCCGCTGCAGCTGCTGCTGCCGCTGCTGCTGCTGCTGCCATGATAGCTGCTGTATTCTGATCGTGGCCTTGTTGTGCAGACACATTGGGAAGAGTTGTCGATGTCGTCGTTGTAGCCGTAGACGTTGCAGCTGTACTTGCTGCCAAAGATTGTTGTTGTTGTTGTTGCTGCTGCTGCTGTTGCTGTTGCTGTTGTTGAAGAGCACTCATTCCTTCAATGAGCTTCCTGACCTCGGCCAGGTCGCGAGCTGCCGCTTCGGATGCTCTATCCATGGAAAGGTAGTTGTTCATATAAAGCAAAAGAATAAAGACAGTGACGAATCCAGGCTCGAGAACAATAACGTGTGGTCCCTGTCAAATCGTCAATGAGGTCGAAGTTGGACGTTTTGTTTTATATCAGCTTTTCTCCTCGGCTTGGCTTGCTCACTCAAGAAATTCACTTGAATCCCCGACCACACATCTTCAAGTTGTGTCGCCATGGTATCTACACATTTATTTACCCATTCAAGTGGGCCATACGTACCAACCTTGATCATGACCACGCATCTACTTTTAAGCATACCTCAGCATGATTGGCATAAGGAACATGGTCCTGAAGAAGGTTACTTTGGTCATCAATGTATGTATGTGAGCATGTACACCTTTCTCAGGCACCCGTGTATCATCCACTCCCTTTTTGTAAATGATTAATACACAAGGTTTTTATTCTAGACGGAACTCATCCACATCCAACTTTTGTCTCAATGCCCCCACAATAATCAATTCTACGCTATAGATCGGGATGGATTGCTTGGTGTAATCACCCCACTTGCTCTTGTCCTCAGGATCAGATACTACCAGCAGCTGGTTTTCAGAATCGGGTTGCAAGAGTTCCTTGAGTCGCCTTGCTGGAAGCTTCGTAATCAGCTGTAATATAGCATGAGTAGTAAGCCATCTTGAATCTTTTTTTCCTGTCAACATGCTCCTCTATGTATGTACTTGCCTTTCCTCCTGCTGTCTCAATGACGCCTTTGAGCGCCTCTGCCTTGTTGGATTGTAACACGTAGACTTCAAAGGTGGATAACCAAGTACCATGTGGATGCTTGCCTGGCACCACCCTTTCTTGGGCTATGGATAGACTCTCCTCGAGATTGAAGTCGTACTTTTTCTCCATCGCTTTGTCTTGAACAGCAAAGTCACTCGCATCCAACCATTTCTGTTCCTCAATACTTTGCCGTAGCCATTTGTGGTGTACAATCTTCAATCCCAGGTTGACCGCACACAGGAATTTGGGCGTACGCAGAGCCTTTTCAACCAATAAATGCGTTGCTTGCGTGACATTCTCCACCATTTGACCTCCAAGATCCAAGATCCCCTACCATAGCTGTGAGTGATGGTTGATCTCTTGTCACCCTTCCATCACTTACATTCTTTTCACGTCTGTCAAGGTTGATACTACTGGTGACGATTTTGATGGTTTTGGATGATGGCATGCTCTCTTGTATGGATTCAGCATCAGCCAAAAGCCCCTTCAGAGAATCGACCTTCTTTTTCTTTTTACCATTGCTGCGTGGCTCAGGCGATTCATGCTCCAAGGTCCGTTTTGATCCAGTTGCCTTGTTGTCATCAATATCCATCATGGTATCATCCTCTCGCTTGACATCCTTTCCTTTGCTTGGTTCATCTGGCATCTCCTCTCCTACCATCGAATAGCCACTCCGGACTTCTTTTTGATACTTGTTCATGTCGGGGATAAAAACATCTTCAAGCTTGGATGCTGCTTTCCGTGCAGCTTGTCGTGGTTGAGTGATTGTTGTTGTTGATGGAGGTGGTGGTGATGGTGTTGCTGTTTTGGATGGTTGCTGCTCTTTGGATGATGATGGCACCTTCTCTCTTGTCTTCATTACTTCTGCTGGCTTGCTCAATCCTTCCTTCCACCAACACTCCAGGTCCTTTGGTATAAGCTTGGTGTCTCCCACAAACTTGTTGACGATCCTTCCATCAACGAAATGTGTATATCGTTCATCGGATAAAGGAAGCTTCTCCCAACGCTGATAGCAATCTTCTAGCCATAGATGGTTGACGATTGGAATATTTGCTTCTCTTGCTTCTCTGTACTTTGATGTATGGCTATGTGTGTGTGTGTGTGATGAGGGGTCTAGTTAGCCCATGTCACAGTAAGATAATAGGCAATCCTTTTACCTTGATGCAATTAAATGCGTGACGCTTGAATCAATGACCGCTTGAAATTTGCATCCGCATCTATGCACCAGATGTCGTAGAAAGTTACGGGCAACACCTCGGTATCCAGAAATTACGATTGCCTAAAGCAAGAAAATGCATGAATAAATGCGTTACTCAAAGATCACATGATAACATACCATATTCTCCATGCCGGGAATTGCACCTCGAGGCATAGGGTAATCCAATAGTCTTCGTGTAGGAGGTTCAACCCTTTGTCGCATAAGCGTATTCGAGACCCACCACATTGAAGCCACCATCTTCCCATCTCGGCATGCTTGGATGTATTCAGGACTATCCCGATACTTGACAACGACGATAGTGACCTTGTCGTTGTAACTGCTGGCAATTTCAGCTCCGGCCTTTTTAAGTCGACCTTCCCAGTCAAAGGTTCTCAATGCCAGGTAGTCATAGTCGTGAACGAAGTAAAAGCAATGGCCCTTCAAATAAGGCTGGGACACTTCAAGATCACGTGGCCAAAAGTTTTTGTTGTCCTTGTAATTGAAACCGGGATACTGAAAGACAGCGTTGTGGAGTGGAAAAAGAGCATCCGCGTCCCCGTCAGCACCTGACGCCTTTGATTTTGTCTCCTTGTCATCTTGACGCAAGCATACAGGATCCGGCATGAGATAACGATCCTGTATTATAGTACAATAATCAATAATGTGTGTCTCAAGATGTTCAAATGGTGTATCCTACATACTGGTAGAACCAAACGCTCGTTTTTGACGCAATCATGGATGAACTGTGGATGCAAAATCTGCACGTTTGCTAGCTTGGTAGCCTTTTTATAGCGGTCCTATAGAAAGAACATGGTCAGCTCTTTGTCATCATTCTTGCTTACACTACATGTGGTCCATTACTTACACCATGATCCGAGTTAGCTATGACATGGGTGACATCATGTAGCAGCTCCTTCGCATATTGTCCTCCATAACGTTCCACGGCACCTTTGATGGCGCTGTTATCATGAGTCGAGAGCTATCGATATTGAAATGAGATACACTCAACAATAGTACAACATCCACATCCTTCGTTCACTTACATTGGCAGTAGCCACAACCATGCCCGAGAAAAAGAGTTGAGGATCTGGTTTGTAGTACTTTGGATCATGCACAAAGCCATTCTTTTCAGCAGCTTCAACCCAAGCAGGCTACATAGAGAGCATCCATTGAGAGATCAGGTCACGTGTGCCACTTGCTTGGACTTACAGTAACAACAAAGATATCCTTTTGGACATCCTGCTCGTCGACTTTACGCGTGGAAATGATATGGGTGGTCTCTGTAGCTTCTTGTGAGGATAGACCGCCTTCTTCATGGTAGCAGCGTTCGGCACCATGGCTGTTGAGGATCTTCTCCAGCTAACATTTACAAGCCAAATGAGAATCACAGCTGTCACGATGCCCCCATGCCACTTACTTGATTGCGCTTGCTGTTGGTTAATGTTCTGTGGAAGTCGTATTTGACATTGCAGAAGAGAGGAACGCTCTTGCTTTCGCCAAGCTTGCGCCCGTAACTCGTCATAGCTGTAATGAAACGGAAGAAGAGATAGATGTGTGCTGCGTGGGTTGAAAATTTAGTGTCGCATTGACTGCGCGCATTATCTGGAATCCTTCATCAAGCACAATGATCCACGCCTGCCATTGGTGGTGTAACTGAATTGAATTGACAATGAGAATAAAGACATGAATGAGATGTGGTTTATGCTGCACCATCATCATGGTAGCGATTTTCCTTCATGCATCCTATCTTGCCAACTAGTACATACATGTTCTCGGTGTTGGGGTGATACGAAGATCGGTGCGTCTTTATGCTGACCTTGGCCAAAAGTTGTTTATTGGCTGGACGCCATGTGATGTCTATTTAATGCATCTCATTTTCTTGATGTATGATATCTTGAGATGTGGTGCTTGACCCATGCTGATGTTCATGCGTAATGTACATCAATAATAGCATTGGTTGACTACTACGCTAAACCTCATGCTGATGTGCTGTTTGACCCATCTTGTATGTGCACGTGCAATATGCCAATGTCAATAGCAATGAGCGGAATGAATAAATGAAAAATTGGCATGATGTCAAGTTTACGTCTCCTGGGACCAAGCTAAAAATCAATCCACACGCAATGAAAATTCATGTCACACGAAGAAGAAACCATGCATCATCGTCTTTTGGAAAATAGTAGAAGGAGGGTTCAATTGCAGGGGTGTGTGTTTGCTTCATGCTATCGGAGAGGTAGTAAGTAGGCTATGAATCCCCCATGCGTAATGATAGTGTTTCTTTTACATTTCTTTTATCATTATGCAAACGTATTCAAGTGTATACGAACGCTACTTTGACCCTGATCATTTTTCACCGGGAACCCCAAAAACAGCGAGTCGTGAACTTCCTCAAGCATGTGCCTATCGTGCGTTGATGTCTCTGAAATACAAATATCACCAGGACAGTCGACAACCCAAAGATTTGAATGACTTGCCCACAAGTGCACCTCTTTTTGATCAAAACGAGCTTACAGAGCGTGCTGAACAAGTCATGGAAGATTGGACAAGACGCTATCCCTCTCAAGTGGCTGGCACCAGTGATGATGTTGCTGCCGAGACCAAACGTCAAGCTGATCAATTATGGGGATTGTGGAGTACAAAGCGCAATAGCTATTCTTCACAAGATGCGGCCATGCCACCTTTATCAGCACCAGGTCAAGAAGAAAATAACAAAAAGCGACAAGGTAGCTTGCCTTTGTCAAAGCTGGATCAATCCTATCACACACCGCAACGAGAACCATCACCAGTAGCAGTACCCGAGAACAACAACGACAATGAACGACCTCCGACAGAATCCCCTGATTATGATCCTGGACCCAAGAAATCAACTTTGGCAGCAGCAGCAGCAGCTGGTGTGATAGGTGGTGGTGGTGGCTCTATAGCAGCATCCGAATTAGCAAAGAGAAACAATGATCCACCATCATCACAACAATCAAATGGCATTACATCATCACAACAACAACAGCAGCAGCAGCAACAAGAAGCACCCGATTCTCCAGATGATAATGATCCTGTACGTGTGCCAAGTGGTTCACAACCAGCTGCATCTAGACCAGCAGGTGCGGCGACTCCGAGTGCTGATAGGCCATCATCATCACAAGAACAACAACCAAGCACTAGCAATGCAGCTGCAGCTGCAGCAGGTGCACAGCAACCACAACCCAGCGTAGACAAAAAAATCAAGATTTCAGAAAATGACAAAGAAAAGGGCAAAGCCAAGAATAGCAATGATGAAGAAAGTGATGACAATGACAAGCCAAAGAACACAGGCGGTACCAAGGAACATATCGCTGAACAACCCCTGATTACTGAAAAAGGTGGCCTTAGTGGGACTCAACCTGTAGGCAAGATTGATCTCAAGAATCTATAATAGACACATGGATCACCTAATAGTTGAAATTGTGATTGATGGCTGTTTTTGTTTTTATTGTATGTACCTAGTAGTATCAAGGAGGTGGGAAATCTTATCTATCCCTGCTTGTCATGCATCCTTCGCTGCCCTATGTTTACACTTCTCCTTGGCACACCATAATAAAAAGGTGGAATTTCGTTGTTAAACCAAATTTGAGCGAACGAAAAAAGGGAGGTAGTAGAAGAAAGAGAGAGACAAAGTAAATAAACAATGTATCGCTTGGTATGTGCATGTGATTAATAAGACGCTCTTCATTGATCAATGATATACTACAACAACAACCAAAGATGTACATATATATAAAAAGGCACATGTATTTTAGTGATGGATTCTATACTTGTACGTAATGGATGCTAATTCTTCATCATCTTCCATGTTACAACGACAAAGACACAATGATCCCATTTGGCGTTGCTGTGGTCGACTGGCAGTAGCCATAGCAGCGTTTGGGTGTTTGTATGTCATGGCAACATTGCCCGTAGCTACGGCTGCCCCTGCTGCTGCACAGCTGGTCGCTCGAGACGAAATTGAATCTTTTGAAGTTTCACCCTTTTCCAACTTTACCGAACGTGTCACCGAGATACAACACGATGGCAATGACGGCCGCTTCTTGGTGATGGGCGACATTCATGGCTGCCTTGACGAATTCAATGAGCTCGTTAACAAGATGCAATACCAACAAGGCCGCGATCGCTTGGTGTTATTGGGGGATCTTACCGATAAAGGACCTGACAGCTTGGGTGTGGTGCGTCGTGCACGTGAACTAGGTGCCATGTGTGTACGTGGTAACCATGATGACAAGGTGATCCGTATTGCTTCGTACTTGAGAAGTCATGGTGGTCGTAGTGGTGATGGTGATACACAACACGCTTCGAAGGATGAGGAGGATGAGGAGGAGAAGAAAGGCAAGGCGCTTCCTGAAGGACATGTTCATGATGACATTAAATGGACAAATCACCATTTTGGCATTGCAGAGTATGTAATACAAGGTGTAACATGCGTAAAGGAAAGCATGAGAGCTGACACTTTTTACATAGGCAATTGGATGATGAAGATTACGAGTATTTGCAACAATGTTCATTGATCATGTCGCTACCCGATCGACACAGCATACTAGTGCATGCAGGCTTGGATCCTAATATCAAGAGCTTGGACGAGCAAGACCCTTACTATGTCATGAACATGCGTTCCTTGGACAAAGATGGACATCCCGTAAAGCATAAAAAGGATGGCAAGATGCGATGGTTTGATGCATGGAATGAATATGGCCCATCCGAAAAGGTGTACTATGCCCATGCAGCTTCGAGTGGTCTACAAATCAACGGCAGAACTTATGGCATCGATACAGGATGCGTCTATGGCGGACAATTGACTGCATTAGACATAGATACGCACAAACTATACCAAATTCAATGTCCACAGTATACCGAGCATGATTAGATGATACGCATATAATTACATAATTCGCATTAAACGCATCATTTTTAGCATAAAGTAATGGGATTCAATAATGGGATGATGAAACGACGTTGACAAGCTTAAAAGATGAGGTACTAAAACGACGACGTCATGTCACTGAAAAAGCTTGTTCTCGAGGCTCTCATTCATAAATGTATTTGAATACTCTGAGCATTGCAAAAAGGATAAGGAATCACCTCTTTATGAGAAAACTCACATTGGGATACTATTGTCTGTGCGCATTTGTCTTACATGATGTAGGGCCTTCGGAGCTTTGCAGTCTGCAGCAGCAAGCCATTGACAGCCAAAAGGGATGCCGTGCAATATCATCTCCTGCCTTTTTCTCGTTGTGATGTCATTAGCACGCATTGATGGTATCATTAACTTGAAACCCAAATAACTTTATTCACTAAAAGAGGAATCTATGTGTATTGCTTACGCTCTCCATGGCACTTTTACAACCCGTGGCAACTTTTACATTCTCATCTAAAACTTGTATTTTCGGAGGTAGAATGACGATGAGAAGAAGGAAACAATAGAAACGTAGCACTATTTGTCATGTGTATTGAGAATCCATTTTTTATTGCGAGTAGAGTGGATACCCTTATTCTCAAGTCAATCCACTGCTAAATGAATAGATAGCAAGGGTAAAGAGGGGGGGGGGGGGGGGGGGGGGGTTGAGAATGGGGTTAAGATGAAGTGAAGTCCTTGAAGAGCCATTTCTCACACGCACGCAGGCAGCAAGAAGGCTGACCAGAGGGTCAAAGCATGGGGGATACTCCGAATGAAGCAATTACTCCCAACCCTTTTTCTCACTTTTTACCTTTCCACAAGCTGGGCAACACCATGATGCTACTTGTCTTGATTGCTGTTGCAGCAGCATCAGCGACGAGGGCTGCTGCCATGGAGCAACATTGTCTTGATCCTGTCGATTGTCCTTTTTATCCAGTACACAGCTGCTTTGCAACCGAACGAGGCCTCATTTGTCAGAATCGAAGTACAGTGTCATCACCTTTTGTATTGCTGTTGTCAGTGAATTGACTTACACCTAATGTGCAGATATGGGTGGTTTCGAGTTGAATCCCAATCCGGTCGAGACGTTTGTCTATTCGCCCTATCGAACAGAGGACGACACGGGTGAGCCCTGTATCACGATACCACTTTCGGACGAGCTATACAGTTATGTGGATTATCGAGGACCTGAGGTGATTGATCAGGGTGATTTGGATCTTATTGGCAACTGCAGTCGATTATCCTATTGCGACCCAAAGACAAGAACCTGCCAACCTAAACGCAACGTGGGGTCATCATGTCGACACAATATGGAATGCTTCTTTGGGATGGATGTGCTACCAGGTCACTGCGCTAATCACTCCGTTTGTGCCGTGCGTGAGGATTTACCACCGTATTATGGAGCTGGCCTACATCAATGGAAGTTGGGTGATCAATGGAAGTCGGCAGCGCTTGCAGTCATAGCAACAGGAGCCGTCGTCGTGTTTTTGGTCGTTGGCAGGCAACAAGTCGGACGATTATTCAAAGCGCTTCGTCACTTGATTCAACAATGGCGACAACAACCACCAACAGTACCAGGCCTCAATTGGGTCTATAAACGTTTCAACACTTCCAACAGAGATGATGGTGCCTATTATCCGCTACAGCAAACTACCATCGTAGACGAACAACCACCTGCATATCGCGAGTAAAAAAATCCCAACTCAACATCCATCATCCATCATCCGACATCCCTTTTTATGCCATATCGTTCTCTCTTTCTTCTTCTTTTCTGCTTGTATCATACCACACACATATCAACTTTATTACGCACAGCAACAGCTTCTTCCTCCCCCTTCTTCTCACTCACTCTCCTCCTCCTCTCCTCCTTTATTTTCCGGCCTTGTGTTAAAGTAGCAAAAGCCCGTTATTTTTTTCCTTTCTCAATACATATTTACGCGCACACTCACATAAGCGCACACATACAAACATATACATTTTGTTCATTCCAGGTACAAGGTTTATATGACGACAACAAGGATACCAAACTTGTAATGAAAGTTTATGAAAACGGGTTGCTTGTTTTTTGTTTTTCGTTTGTTTAATGAGGCAAATGGCTGAAATTTCTTGGCTTTCCAGAAATAAGGGCGATCCCTTTTTTGTCGTTGGCAAAGGGAAAAAGTATGTGTATACAATGCGGGCGCGCGCTGCATGAGGAACAAGACAATACACGTGTCCGTGCATGTCACCTGTTATGTCCAAAATCACCCACAATGCCCATACGTTTAATATCATGGTGCTTGAGATGATGGTTCGCATTATCATGTTTTTTGGGATAGATCATAGTAATGGCGTATAAGTTTATATTACCCGGTTCGAGAGCTAATAATAGGGGTAAGCTGATAGAGTGTGGTAGCGTTTTAGGTGGCGAAAACAGGTTTGGATGCTCTCTTCTCGATTCTCACTATGCCGATAACGAATCGCTTTTTCCTATATCACGACGACAAACGTGTGTGTAGGTGATACCGACCCCTTGGGTGGCACCCCCATTGTATGTATTCCCGCTCAAAAAAGCAGAGACAAAAATTGGCATAATCATATGCGCCCACAGTTGACATGGATCAAGGGTGATTAGGGGTAAACGATGGTACATAGGAAGGAAGGGTGGGTTATGCGTCACTGTGCTGTGCTGCGCTGTGCTGATAACTCCCTTGGAAATTCCGCTTTAGGGTTACATATGCTGTGTATGGATGTGTGTGTGTATGTGTGCAAAGGGAGATGGCAAATGAGTGAGTAACCAAAGCGACAAAAGGAATTTCATGGTTTTGATACGCGCCACTTTTTTTCTCTCTCCTCTCTCTTCCTCTCTTTTTTCTTCTTTCACAGCATATTCACATGCCTCGGAGGACTCCCGTGTCGACTACAACAACGACAACGACGCCTATAACCCCGTCATCATCATCATCTCCTTCCCGGTTAAAGCGATCTATTAGGGGTGTTCGTAACCTGTTGACGTTTCGGCATTTGGATCGATGGCATGATGAACCTGTAGTACCATGCAATACCACACCACAACCACATACCAATTTACATGCTGATGGCATTGGCAATAATAATACGACTACTAATGGACTTCCTGAAGTGGCAGTTACATTGACGGCGGATGTTTGTGGAAAGGCTGCTATGGATTTGTTGACCGTTGTACATCATCAACAACCACCACGATTTGCAGCTCATGAATCACCGCTGACATTGTCATCCTTAGGTGATGTTAAAGGATACGTACACTATGAACCAAAACGTGGTGTGATTGGGCTTGGTAATCGTCCTCCAGGAAACACCAAGCACACACGTTCGATATGGTTAACGCTTGAGCAGTATGCTTGGGTTGTACGGCGACTTCAAGAAGAGGATGAATTATTGGTACAACAACAACAACAAAATCGTCATCATTCCTTTCACCCTATACGCAACAACAACAGCACCATCTCGCCCATGTTGGGTATACTCAGACATTATGAATCAAAAAAAGCCCAATCATCATCATCATCATCACCAACATCATCACCACGCATGCCTTCTTCTTCTTCACCCATCTCGGCAACACGACGATTATCACGGCTTGTATTGCTGCATCCTGCCACACAACGGATCACTCATAGCATACGAGGAGGTGATCCTGTTCTACTGCTTCCCAAAACATTGCTTTTGCATGCAGCAGCTTACATCCCCATGACAAAGCCATTGCCACCTGTTATTGTCACACACGAAAACTCGCACCAAAGACTGTATCACCATCACCATCCTAATAGCACGAGTAGCAACAGCAACAACAGTACTACTACGAGTGGTGGTGGTAGTACGAGTAGTAGCAGCAGCAGCAACAGCAGCAATAGTAGCTATGGCAACCACAATACGGTTGCTACCCAACCACCACCAGCACCCTTTCAATCAATTTCACCCGATTTGCAAAACCGATTGAAACGCTATGTACAACTCGCAGCCATGGCAACCCATCAGCTGACCTTGGATACTGCATGTCATGAGCTTGTATGTCTTCGGTGCCGCACGATGATGCATGATGAAGCACTTTCTTATCTACGTACCATTCGTCATGAAAAAAGGCAAACCTTTGACACTTATCCAGCCCGTTCATCCTTGGCACCAATACGACCCTCATCCGCTATTCTATCATCTACAGCGGCTCTCAGCAGCAATAGCAGCAGTATTCACACAACAACAGCGGGCATTGCTAATGCTGCTGCTGAGTATTCATATCAAGATGGCTATGTGGCTGTGGATGACGAACGACAAGAGATCATTGTCACCTTTCCTGGTACAACAACGAATGGAGCTGATCATCATAGCTTGTACACCACATCCTTTGCAACCGTGCCTTGGCATGAAGAGGAAGGCATTTATACACCCGAAGATGATCACCATCATGGTCGTAATGATGATGCAGGCATGATGGACAGGCACACATGGCGACATGGAACACACTATCAGTATCAGCAGCATAATCGACCATGGGTTTTGGAAGCTGCAGCCGTAGCATGGCGACGCTGTGAAATGACCGTGGCAACTGCATTGATGCGATTATGTCGAATTACGCCTTGTCATTATCGAGTTGTGATTATTGGACATGCATTAGGAGGAGGTATGTGATTATTTTATTCTACTAGGATGAGTGGATGGAAGGATTGATCTCATCTATGTAATAGCGGTAGCTGCATTGTGTGCATCGTCATTGGTTATGACGGGGCTACTAGTGGATCGCCCCGTGACATTGTGTGCCATTGGTCCACCACGCACGGGTAGCCATGCCTTCGTCAGCCATCTTGCAGAACACGTTGAAACCATTCGCATCACACATCCGGAAGAAGATCCCTTATCTCATCTTCCACCACGTACCTCTGGTTTGGTTCACTTTGGCACCACTACCGTTGTCTTGACATCGGCCATCAATAATACACCACATCCTCATGCTGAACAAGATATCCGACAGCAATACCAATTCGAGGGAAAAAAGAAACAAAATGCTTGGATCTTAAGGAATAGCAGTAACCTCGGCTGGATCGAGGATCAAATCTCCCATATATGGCCACCCTCGGTGTTGCCACGACAACCATTACCATCACCACCACCACCACCCATCCCATCAACTTCTGCTAGCTTGAAGTCGGCTGCAACTACCACACACAACCATGATCTCAATTCTCCTTATACAATTTGGAACATTCATCTCCATGCCAAGGCTTGTCAATCACATCCAATGAGCGATACATGGTTACGCGTAGGTTAAGTTGCTTTTATACTTTTCTACCACCATCCCCCCCCCACATCTCTTTTTTGTATATACCACCACCTATTAATACCACTACACACACGCACATTATGAAAAATCTCCCTTTGCTTTATAATCTCTCATCTCTTCCTTTTATACTCGTTAATGTTATTCCCCCACCTCCCACACTGTGCCTCCTTTAAGATCGATTGATAAAATGAGCCCATCACTGGCACACCATAATGGTAGTACTAAGGCTAAAATCGTTGTTGAAGTATAAAGTTTGACGCATCCGGAAACCAATCGATGAGAAAAGTGTATCTTCTATATATCACAAGAAGGGGCTTCTCAATATAACGACTACAACAGCTGAACATGGCTATGTATAAATCCCCGATGCGAGAGGGCGGGCCAGCAAGGTATGACACTGCAGAACACTGCATGAGTAACATTCAAACGAGAATGAATAATGCATAAGCGGTATGTTTAGGTGCTTTAGTAGTGCTGAGTATATGTTTGGAGGATGCATTGAACTTATTCTTTTCTCGGCAGATAATGAAAAGCTCCCTCTATCTGGATGTTGTTGATATGCAAAGAAACTTTGAGAATAGCCAAAATGCAATGGATGATGACCCTCGTAGTGAATGGTGTTGTTGTTGTTTTACCATGGGCTTGGTATCCTCTTTTTCGTTATTGCCACCACCCGATGATATTGCTGATATCTTGCGTCTGATTGAAAAGCCGCGTCTCACATCATCTTCATGTTCTTGTTGACTAAGACAAGAAGAGGATGAAAGAAGAGGTGATGAGGAGTGACGAGGTGATGAAGGATGTTGATGTAAGCTTTGTCTTGTTGCTTGTTTCTTTGTCCTTTCAGCTGTCTTTTTTCGACGAGGTTTGTTGGACATTGTTGTAGTGGCGGTGGATGATGATGCCAAGTGGATATTTTCATACGCAGAAGATGCAAGTATTTGTTTCTGATCCTGCACAAACATTTGGATACGCTGGTATTTACATCGAGAATCTTCTTGTTCAAGTCGTTTGAGATTGCGTTGTGTCAATTGCATTAGCGTAGTAGTAGTAGTACGAGAGAAAGAAGAAGAAAAGCGAGAGAGAGAGAGACAAAGAAGGAGGAAGAAGAGGAGGAGTGAAGCAAGAAGATGACCTTAAGTAACGACAATGTGACTCTTTGCCTCCCAAACAGCTTGTCAAAAACGTAGTTCACATTTATAGAGTCAGGATGGAGCGTGTGCATATGCATGACGGCAATTACCCATAACAATGTAGAAGTATATCTCTTAAATCAGTTACTTTTGGTGCTGCTGTATGTATGTACATACATACGCGGCGGGTCACTTGCGCCGACGCATGCACACATGACATTGATGCATTTGGCGATGCTTTATTCTTACTCCTAATGCATTTACTTTTACATTCCAATCGATTCATAATAGACATCAATCATCTTCCCAATGATGGTGGTAGTGGTGGTGGTACCTGAATCAAATCAACGTTGAGTCTATATCTGGTCGATGAGAGAGGACGGACGATCTGAAAAAGACTCTATCTCCCGACCCAATAAACTTTGCCCGCTTCTTTATCCCTTTTGCACCCCCAACTCTTTTGACAATGGCTCCTGATCTGAAGGAATACGACGAAGAACAAGCCCGTCTCATGGCTGAAATGTGCATCCTCGTTGACGAGAATGATAACCGCATCGGTGCCGACAGCAAAAAGACTTGTATGTATAGCTTTTTATTTCCCCTCATCTCGTCATGGTTATGCTTAATCGCTCTGTTTAGGCCATCTGATGGAAAACATCAACCAGGGTCTCTTGCATAGAGCCTTCAGCGTCTTCTTGTTCGATTCTGAGAACCGTCTTCTTCTTCAGCAACGTGCCAGCGAAAAGATCACGTTCCCCAACATGTGGACAAACACTTGCTGCTCGCATCCTCTCAACACTCCCTCGGAATTGGTTGAGGAGGCTCAACTTGGTAAGCTTTGATTGTAGTTTGATTGTGAGTAGAGTTCATTGATATGGATGCATGGGGTCGTTGAATAGGTGCTCGTACAGCTGCTCAGCGCAAGTTGGAGCATGAACTCGGCATCAAGCCCGAACAAGTTCCCCTTGATGATTTCAAGTACTTGACACGTATTCATTATGTTGCACCAAGCGATGGTCTTTGGGGTGAACATGAGAGTAAGTTGGTTTGGGAGATCAAAAAGGGGAGATCAAAAGAAAAGGGTACTCACGTTGTAATACGTGTAGTCGATTACATCTTTTTCATCAAGGCCAATGTTACCATGGATGTCAATGCTAACGAAGTCCGTGATGTCAAGTGGGTGACTCCCGAGGAATTACGCGCCATGTTTGCCGATCCTGGTAAAGTTGGGATAACGCGGGGGGAAGGAGAAGGAGAAGAAGGAGAAAAGGAGTCATGGAAACAAATTCTAATGTCGTCAATTTGGAATATAGATGTTCCGATGACTCCCTGGTTCAAGTTGATTTGCAACAGCTTCTTGTTCAATTGGTGGGCCAAGCTTGATACTATCGAAAGTGAAAAGGACGAAAAGACCATCCATCGTCTTGGCTTCTAATAGCAATACCCAGCATACACTTTTGTTTCAATAATTTATTACGCACACACACCTTATATAAACAGGATATTACTAGAGATGGGTTGACGGATATAAGGAGAGGGGCATGATGATGTGGATTTTCTTTGTTCTCTTTGCCAAGGATGGCTGGAATGAAGTTCATTGGTCAAGACATTCTTTGGGACAGCGGCGGTATATTCTTATGATGACGATCTATGTTGCATTTCGATCATTTGGTTAGCATTAAAGCAGTTGCCAAATCAGGCATGTGCTATCATCATCCTCATATGAAAATTTCTCATGTTTCATTCAATGTGTGGGAGGTATCACGGCGTCGTTAAAGAGTGAGAGAGTGAGTGATCGACTTTTTATCCAGCTGCCACATGGTCCGTGAAACAACGATCCATGTCCCTCTCTTCACTTTTCGCCCATGTCTTTCCCATGGGACATGTGCATACATGCATGGTTTACTACTTTTAACAATGGAGATGAGGGCATAAAGGAAAAAAGTTGATGTTGCCCTTTGAAGTATTCATAGCACATGTTCATTCGACGTGGCCTACTTTACACGGCCAGTTGATGCTTACAGCTTATGTGTCTTTCCATTCTTGGATGCGGCGTGTTACACGAATGTTTTCTGCGGTTCACATGTGAAATCGATGGGGTTCCCCACATTGCAGCATCACCACACAAGAGCTTCATTTTGCTTCTGTCCCAAGACCCGCTTTATTCAACAGGCGCTTTCGCATATATGCTTAACAGACCCATACACACGCACTTGTTTTGTGTACACACGTGCACCCCATAGCATTGAAAATGCCGCTCACTATAAAAAAAGAGTCCCATTTCTTCCTGCTTTTCCCCACTCTTTCTTGAACACACATACTTTCTAATGTCGCTCAATTTCGAACACTTTGATCCTCAATTCGAGTTTGGTACCGTTGACAAGCAAACTGGTGAACCTGTGAGGCCACGGAAAAAGCCAGGACGCAAACCCAATCCACCAACACCTGCACAACGCAAGGCACAAAACAGGGCAGCACAACGGGCGTTCCGTGAACGTAAAAGACGCGAGATGCATGAAGCAGAGATGACTGTCAAGCGATGTTTATATATGCGCGATCAAGCTATACAAGAAGCTGAAGGCCTAAGGAACAAGGTGGATGAATTGACATATGAAGTCAATTACTTGCGTGGAATGGTGTTATCATACAAGTTGGCATGTCATGCAAATCGTGTCGATGTACCAAAGTGCAATGACTTTATGGATGGTTCAAGCAATATCAAGACGACGAGTAGCACAATTCCCCCATCGCTGGAAGTATTTCTCAACAACCAAAGGCGAATCATTGACGCGACTATTCCATCATCAGCATCATCAGCAGCAGGAAATGACAACCTTGAATCGGATAAGGAGGACAATGACAAGGAAAACCAAGAAGATGATTTGTACACAGCATTGATCGATGATTCAAAAACCGACTCCAGCAGCATCAGTGGTATGAATCCAGAGGAATCATTGCTCCATCATAATGAGATGCAACAACAACAAGAAGAAGAAAAAGTAATCGAGGAGAATCGACAACAGCAGGAGCGAGATGCCGATGGAATGTTGGTGGATGTGGCCGCAATAGCACCACAATTGGCAAATCATCTCGAGTCACCGTTTATTCAGCAGTTGATGACAGCTGACCTTGTACAACATGGCATGCAACAACAGCAACAGTCAGCATTAGTGGCAGAGGTTAAGCATTCCTTGGCAACACCATCCAACAACAATGCTCTCACTGGATACCATCATAACAACAACAACCACCCATCCACATCCACACATGGAAGATTGAAAACATCCAATGACACGGCCTTGTTTCCACCTAGTATGTTTTTTTCCTATTATTCATATGTTTTACAACTTGTATATTCACACGCTATATTTTACCGTTTGTTTAGCCGAACTTCAGCGTAATGTGGCACACGATAACCGCATTGACCTCATTCCTGGTGCTGCGCTACGCGATCACATGATCCTTTTCCAAGACTTTTACGATGCCGATGATCTCTTTACGACTCTTGTTGAGCAAGCTGTGTTTACGGGTAGCGAGCTTGGTGATCCAGACTGCTGGACAGTCCCACGATCCTTCGTTCTCAAATATTGGTTCTTGTTACCGAATCATCGCCCTCTCAAGCGAACGGATGACATTGTTGACATTGTGGTGGATAGCTGTCAGCGTATGCTCAAGCATTTTGTTGAACACCGGATACCCATGTACATTCACCACCGGGATCAATATCCAGATCAATTTCCTTTTGATACGGCATCGCTCAAGCCTTCCTTCCATTACAACAACAACAACAACCATCAACAACATCATCATCATGAACAAGACCAGCACCAGCAACAAGTGGCTCTTAGCAGTAAGTCATTATTGGATGATGATAAGGATTACAACAAGGAGTATGTTTATTAACGTGGATGATAATAGCCTCCAGCCTGCCGATCAATGTCTTGGAGCTCATTTCACCCAACACCAATGTCTTTGCTACTGCATCTGGTATCGTGACAAATGCATGTCAATGAAATGTCAATAGTCACCTACACACACACGCACACACACACACGCATGTATAATATCACTACACTTTCACCTTTTCATACATCCCCATCACCATGTGAATAGCCGCCGCTCTTCTTTTTTTCTTTGCTTTTGTATAATTTGCCAGCCTTTTACACGCCTAATCGTGAACTTTGTTTTCCATATTGCAATAAAACCTCCTTTGCAACTCGTGTGATACGACTTCCTTTACATGGATAATAGTGAAAGCTCGGTCATTTTGGATCTTGTATACGTGATTCTTTGTCATCATGTTACGTATGGATGTTTCTCAAAGGTCATGATCCAAGATTCATAGTCATCGCCGATCCTGAGCAAACCCTATTTTCCTTCATGACGCCATTGATTCGTGGCAGGAGAGTACGACCCAATCTTGGATACATGCTCTAGCAGCCTTGCTGGATGAGAATAAACTTTAGCCTATATAAGATGAGCTTGGGTCATATGGAGACTCCTTTCCAAGATGATCATGATTCAAGTGTGGAGACCTTTTACTTTGCCAATAGACGCCTTGGAATGCATTGATCTCTCACAAAGGTTACTTTTGAGAATCTCCGCACAATGAGCCAAAGCACCCAGCTTTAAAAGTAGTATCCCTTTGCCTAACGATCCCCGATGCTGTGTATCTTGGTTATGAATAACAACAACAAAAGCCGCAAAAGATCACACTGATGATGGCTCATTGTTCTCCTTTCCAAAAATGATGATGTACATTCCCTTAATTTTTCGGCTAAGCCATACGATTTTATCAGCGGAGGAGAATGACAAGGGGAGGAGGGATGTAAAGCAGGGTCTAGCACTACTAGCTAATCTCCTCATTCTCTGTCCGTTCACTTGTTTTATCGCCGTGCCCATTCAAATCCCCTCCTCGAGAAAAAAAGGGGGTAGGTGTGTTCATAGTAGTAGGGATCATCTACGTATCTTCCATCAACATGGATGAGGAACGTTCCCATTGTAGTGTACAATCATCATCATGCATTGGAATTACGCACGTTAAATGGAATCGAGATATAAGCTTTATAGGGAGAATCTTTATATGCACATATATATATGGTAAATCTAGACGCACACGACGAAAAAAAGGGTAAAAGGAGTGGAATCAAAAGGAAGGGCGAGCAGCATGCCGCACGCAAAAGAGTGTAAATGTCATAGGAGATGAGAAAAGAAGAACACAGGGAGAATGGAGGAAGAGGAGGAGACTATCTGGTGGTGGATCTGCATACAAATGTGTGTGTGTATAGGTAGTATAGTATGTTGGGTGATTGTGTGTGAAGAAATTGAACATAAAAAAAGCACCAATGGAGGAGGGGAGGGTAAATAGCATTATATGGTGGTGGTGGTGAAGTAGATTACATGACGACGATGGATAACAGTGCCAGCTCTTTGGATTTGTATGTATATGTAAAACTTGTGTATGGGCTTGTTGGATTCAATGGCCACGTTTTATCATAGCCATTTGCTTGTAGCGCATGCTGTTGGATGAAGGAGAACAGGCGTGGGCGGTGATGTAGGAGGAGGACTATAGTTTGAGGAGGTCTCACTGGCTGCCGATGATCCGATGCTTTCTGCTGTAGTGGTGCAACATGACAAGTATGGAGGAGGCGATGTTGTTGGGGAGGCGATAATGGTGCTCGTATTCGAATCATTTGTCCACCAGCTATTGACAAGTGTTCTGACATTGACCTTGCGTTTGGCAGCCTTGACAAAAAGTTCGGCAGGTCGTACCTTGGTATGACGCAAATAATAGCTCTTGCATGTTTCACACCAATGACCTTCACCACACAAATTGCGATACCATTGATGCGTTTCTTGAACACCGCAATTGGCACATGATTTTGTTGATGATGAACCACTCTTGTTGTTATTGGATCCATAAAACACCATGGGTAAATTGCCGTTGCTATGCTTGTTGGAAGCATGGTTGTTATTGCTGCTGCTTGAAGGACCGGGTCGATTGGCAACAATGAGGCGGAGTGGACGTGGCTCACCATGCTTTAATTGATAGCGGTAGCATGCAACACATAAACGACGACGAGATGCAGGCTTGGTGTTGCAATTGTGGCATACAGGTTTGAGTTTTGATGGACGTGGCTGTTGAAGCAAATAAACAAGGTTGCAATACGGCTGTTGCTGATGTGGGTTGTGAATCCCTGTATCCGAAGGACGTGGTAGCTGATCATGGTAATCGAGACCAATGGTGTCAAACAAGAAATTTGCTAGCTCAACAGCGTGTCTCAACTTTGCGGCATCAAAATCATGCAAGTTGAATCGGAATAAGCTATTGATCACATGGTTGAGCCTAAAGATATGATCTTCTTTGGCATGAGCAGCGTGCTCCAAAAACCGCACATCCGTTCTTCCAGGTGTTGACCCATGCTCAGTGTATCGAAAAAGATGGAGCAGCCATGTAGGAAAGAAAATAAATTCGGGTGATACGCGTTGGCTTTTGGCATGTTCAGCACGAAAAAACACAGCAAGTAATCGCATGTGCTGGTACAATTCCACACTCTGTATGGGTCGTGATGCTTTGCCGGTACCAATATGACATCGAAAGGATCCATTCATATGTCGCCCAATCACCTTGACATGAATGGGTGTTGTCTTCATGCTGCTGCTGTGGGTGGTGGCTGCTGGCCACACATAGCCATCGGTCAAGCTATTTCGTTCCGAGTTTTGTTTAACATGATAGCCGCTACGTTGAAGTGCTTGTTCCCAATAGCTCATGAGGTCATCATCGTGGATAGATTGCTTATGCGGATGCTGTGGACCATATTGGCTATTGGATTGAATCTCTTGTTGTTGTTGTTGGACAACTGGGGATGTCGTCAGTGGCTGTGATGATGGTGCTGGGTGGATAAGTAGGTCGCTAATGTTCATGTGTGTAAAGCTAGTAGCAAATTAATTGTGGGGAAAAAGAAAAATGAGAGGAAGAGGGTGAGAAAAGCGTGAATTGACGCTGACTATTTATCCTTTGAATGCAGCAGAGGAGGACGACCATGACAATGACAACACTTTGGACACAGATTCAGGGGTGTATATTATAAGCATCATTTCCCTCTTTCGCCGAAGCAGTTTTCCTTCCTATTTGGGAACACAAGTAATGATGCTTTGTGGTGTTGATCCTTTTTTCTTTTTGTTCAATAGGCGTGCATTTGCATTTTGGGTAAAAATAAAAGGGACTTCCTTCTCAATACTACATTGGCATCTCTTGACCATAGGGATGACCTTAATCTTATTATGTGTGATGCATTTTACTCTTGTAGGCATGCAGCCGAATATGCGGTGCTCGATCTATGTCTATATAGGCCTTTTGCCCCTTGCTTCCTAATTTTCATTCTTTTACTGCTCGTTTTGCACTAATCCGACAATGCAGGATTTGGCAATCGATATAAGAAAGGCAACTCGTGTAAACTACCATGGAAGCACCTGATGCGGAAAGGAACAATGGAAAAGTCGTATGAGTTGTGCGTGCTGATGGTGACACACATTGAAGGATACGTTGCGTTTCAGCTACATAATGATGATGGTGATGATCTTCTCGAGCTCCTAAATCCCTTGTTATTCGAATGGTGATGCTCGCGCGTGATGAACACAGAATTTGGTAGCGAGAAAATTACACACACATACACACATCTTTGCATAGCATCACTATCCCTTGCTTTTTTTACGCATGTTCTCCAGTGTTTCTTTTCGTGGTTCCTTCACTCCCCAGCAAAACCCCTTGTCATGCTTCGTCACGTAAAGTCACCCCCTTTTAACTGGTGCGTGGGGTTGAGAGCATGCTGACCTGCATCAAGCACATGAGAATGAGCGTAAAGAAAACGAGAACAAGGCAACTGAGAAGAAATCGGACCATGAACGGAGAGTGCATTTTGTATCTCCAGCCCAAAACCCCCCACCAAAATGCATGATAATGTATTACCTAAAAGGGAACAAGGGCAAAACCGTACCTGAGAATAAGCTGCATCGGCTGTGTATGTTTGTGTATGTCTCGAGACCCTACCCCATTTTCATTGTTTCATGACAGCTGATGGTAGTACAGCATCATGCACCATTATTTCCGAATCCAGCAATATCCTTGTGGTTTGCAAACCTGCAAGATGCCGATAGCATCGTGCTATACAACGTGCCAGCATGTGTGCGTGTGCGTGTGTGTTATGTGTGTTATGTGTGTGTGTATAGCAGACCCTGCTTTTCATATAATGCACTTGTCATGTCGTTCTCTCTCTTTGGTTTTCTCTCTTTTTCCTTTCACGCTAAAAAAAGCACGGGGAAAGGTTGAAATCCTTACAAGCCCCCTTTCATAACTCCCTCTCATATTCAATTATGTAATGTACCGGATCGACGGCAATGTTTGAAAGTGTCATCATCAGCACTATCTTGATGCTTGAAAAGCACCCCCCTTTTTTGTTGGTGCTGCTGACAATCGGTAATAACATGCGACATGTCGGTTATCGGTATAGGGATTGGGGGTTGAAGGAGTGCTAAAAGAGGAGAATTACAAGGGGTTATAGGAGGGTGAGCAAAGGGAGGTAGGCCATGAGAGCGAGAAAAAGAAAAAGAGAGAGATGCACAAATGGGCTAAGGATGATAAATGAAAGGGTGGTACAAGCACCGATTACTTTATATTTCGTAGATCTATTATAGTACAGACTACCCCTGAAAATCTATTACTACTGCACAGACACGGCAAAAACAGAGTCTAAAAAGATTCGGGCGAACCTCGGTCCATTGCCGCGCACAATAACCTGCACATGGTTGGATGCTTGTTCATCACCCCAAGCAGGCGTATCAAGATCCCAGCCTCGATTGTCATAGCAAGACATTCCCAGCGTATACTCGCCTTTGGTTTCCACATGCAAGTCCAAGTATCGTGATTCCCAGTTTTGGTCAAAGTCCGAGCTCTCATTCTTGCCATCACCCTTATCGCTGATCATATCCACCAAAAGCAATGCCGTATATGCATCATATCTAAGCCAAGGGGGTGGATGGATGAGAATCAATCGAACATAGCATTCATTCTTGATCCATATGTCCCTTCCATCCGATATTTTCTCTCCCTCTTTCTCCTCTTGCATGGTGCCCCAACACGCACACCAACACACACACACTTACGGGCAAAGAGTTTCAATATTATATAGCTTGCTGCACACCTCGAACGTCCATACCAAAAAGGCATTGCATAATTCACCCACGGGTGTCTTGACAGGGACAATCTTTTCCTGATACTCTTCTTTTGAAATAGCACCTTCACCTAAAATGAACCAATTGTCAACACACGTTATCATTGTTGCTTGCATGGGACTTACTGCTAAGAGGCAACACCACAACATGCATCGGTGCCTGTTTGCCTTGCTCAATGAGTTCCAAACGTGCATTGTATCCTTCAGGGCTATGCTTGAACCCCTTTGAAGTGTTCATCACGATATCGGCAGCATCAGGGTCAGCTCGAAAGTTGAACTCTGCCATGGGCGTCACATTGCCAGGAGCATCCACTGCCCTGAAAAAAAGGTTTGCCAAGATGACGATGTATGAGCCTTCCATGTCCGTGTGCATACACCAAAGTACCCATCTTACCCTCCCATGATCACCACACGTTTTGCTCGGCCAAAGGTCACAGGATCACGTTGATAGGCCAATGCAATGTTGGTCAATGGTCCCACAGCAAGAATCGAGATAGACAAGGGGTCGGCATGCTTGAGTTGATGCAAGATTTCATCAGCGGCATCACGTTCTGTCGTTTGATATGCAGGCTTTCCCTCACGAGCGAGATCTTCCCAGTAGGAGTTCTATATACATTATTGTTAGCTTCACAAGACACGCTGCATGAGCTAAGTACAGCACCCATACCTTGCTGTAGATATCACCCATACCATCCACGCCATGGAAGTAAGTAGCGAAGAGATTGTTGGCTTTCAATGGGGTGGCACTGCCTATAATAAAAAGATACAATCATAAGCTGTTTGTTGCTGGTAGCCATGATGAAGCATTCACACGCCCACTACATATACGCCACACACAAACACACATACACACACTACACCCTCATCCATATGTATCCATTCCATACCAATAGCCAACACTGGCAATTCTTCAACAGGGACTTCCTGCTTGAGGTATTCACGCTGTTTTCGCATCACGTGGAGCACCGTTTCGGCATTACGCTTGACATGATCAATGTTGGTATTTCCATGCGTCAAAGTAACTGCTGTGAGCTTGACTTTTGGGTTCATGAGGAGGTAAAACATGGCAAGCGCATCGTCAATGCCCTGGATCAGCAAATGGGGGGAAATTGTCAGCACGATTGGGGACTTCTTGATCAGCTCAAATCTAATCTCGGCTATGCAGGGGGAGGGGGTGCACTTACAGGATCGGTATCGAGAATGACGGATTCCTTTGTTATAGTCATGGTAACAGGGGGGGCTGTTTATGGAATGAAGGAGAAGAGAACAATGGGAATAAAATGTCGTCGAGATTCCCACTATAAACTTTGTACCGATTTTGTGTTACCAGATTTCCCCACCACTACCACCAATATAGCATGTATCTCGATCAAATGCATTGGCTACAAATGCACCATACTTGTCACACAAGCTGCATGCACCCATCTGACGTATCTCGATCCATAAAACCAATGATGATATTTCTGTACCTGCTAGTTCTCCACAATTGATATTGGATACTTGGAAAAGCATTGCTTTGTAGCTTGCCATTTGGATAGTAGTGATGATTGGTCATGTGTAGTGCAGGGGCTAATAAGGAGCCCAAGAATTCGGTATCTTATGCACCAAAGATGCAGGTGTCATACTGATAGCTTTGACACTCATACACTTGAAGCTTGATAAACTCAGCTCAACTTCTCGTTGGATGGGATTTTGCGGCCCAAAAACAAAGGCAAGACTTGGGGAACTTTGAATTCTATTGGAGAGAGATTTTATAGTAAGCAGGCCAATAACAAGTGTATCCCCATGACTGCCATCATAATTATTGTCACAGCGTCTCCTTGTTGTGCTTGTCTTTTTTGCATTAAGCATATGGCATCAATCGATACACCCACCACCACCTTCCTTACTATCCACCGATCACAATATAAGGCATGGATAAGCGAACAAGAAACCAAGTACAGCTGCAAGTTCTACAATAGAATGAAATCTAGCAATCTTAAACAAAGTAACGAAGACTACCTGCAAAATGGCTATACGCCATCAGTCCCACCACCTTTAAAATCTGGTCAAGAACAAACGCCTTTTATCTTATGTGAAGTAAATACAATAAGTATCGAAAACCTCTTGGCTACAGCCATTCTTATTGGTAATATGCGACAATAGCGTTATGATTGTCATCAAGCTGGGGGCGAAGGGTCTCTTTGTTGTAATTGCAAAGCAAGATTTACGGCCTATGTTCGCATCGAGAATGAAGAAAAAGACATGATCACAGTACGATATCGCCCTGAGCACACTGGGCATGTCGCTAGCAGCAACAATGATATGATTCCTCTGCCACAAGAACAAGCACGGATCGTCGATATGCATGTTGAAGGCGAGGAAGAGACACCCTCTGCCAACGATCTTCTTGAACAAGAGGCCGCCTATGCTAGGTAATGTAGAGTAGTAGGTTGTGCCCATGCGATCATAAGGATGTTGATTTTTTTTTTATACGTGCAGATTTTTTGATGCATACGAGAGGCTCAAAGCCGAAGTAGAAAAGATCATGGCGGGCGAATACAGTGTGCCTGCACATGTTTTACACAAGGTTGCAGATTCGATCGAGAGAACAACCAACGAATTAAAAAGATGGAACGATGCTTATGATCCTTCATGCGATAATAAATAAATCCATGGCACGACATTGGGATGTGAATAACTGTGATGAGGAAAGCTACGAGGTGGTAAAAGAAAAAGACCATTGACATAGCTGTTTTGGTTTGAGTGTTCCAATGGCTTCATACAACAACTTGCAAGTCGGCACACAACCATACCAATGTTAACATGGCATAAGGCATTTAACGGCTTCAACACGGGCTGCCGTATCAGCAGCATCAAACAACATGGTATGCGCGTAGCAGCTAGCATGACATCAGAAGAGCCATACACATGTCAATAACCTGTCAAATGCTGGTAGATGGATTGCTGTTTGCTTGGCATAAATAAACTCTTGTTTGCATGCAGCTACAAGAAATAAGCTCATTGTGATCCCACCCATGCACGGTTTTGATGATCCTTACATGAGTCACCCTTACAACAGCTAGCATGCAGCCACACATCATCCATACATGTTGGGCTTTTTGGATCAATACGAATAAAGACGAGTTTCAAAAGTACCAAGTTTATTGAATTGAATCACTTTTACAATGGTGTGTGAATGAACATGAGGGCGTGTGAATATAACTTCATCCAACCTGTGCGAAAGCTGTAAATGACTAGAGATCAATGTTTTGACAAGTTTGTGACAAGTTGTTATGGATACGATTCTCACACGGATCGAGCTGTCAAGGTAAAAACAAGTGCCTTACAAGTGCTGCTTGAAAGTGTATAAAAAGAGGTGTTTAGGAATCCATGAAAGGCCTCATCCAAAAGCCACAATGTCTTCTGAACAACTTCTTACCATCACTCACATCGACTCCCTTCCTGGTTATGCCTTGGCCTTCCGCCTTGCTGAGGAACGTCAACAATTGAATGTTCGTATGCGTGGTTTATGTCGTGATCGCCATGGTCTTGAGGAACTTGAAAAGCAAGGTGTTGAGATTATGCAAGTCGACTACCAAGATGAAAACAAGATCAAGCAAGCTGTGCAAGAATCACGTTGCGTGTTTATGATCCCTGAGCACTCGTCCAATCGTGTCAAAGAAGCTGAGATGTTGATGCGTGTTTGCAAGCAAGTCAAGGTGGAGCACATGGCCATGTTGTCTTGGTAAGTGGGATAGACATACCCATGTTGTTGATACGTAGTATTGATCTCCAAGTATAGGGTAGGTATGGATGCTGTGCAACATGACCGTGAGCGTTATCGTAATTTGAATGAGTACCACCAAATCGAGGAAAAGCTCAAGCAACAATTTGGTGAGCAACACTGCTGTATCATCCGTTCGACCTTGTTCAACCAATTCTTCTACTACGTGACCCCTATGGTGGAGGATCGCAATGCCTTGTGCCTTCCTGTTAAGCAAGACCAACGTTGGGGCACTGTGGATCTTCGTGATGTGGTCGAAGCCGTATGCACCCTTGTACGTCAAAATGTCCAAGTGGGCCGTGGTCAAAAGCACCTTTACCGTTTCACACCCACTCATATGATGGATGGTCGAGAGATGGCTCGTGGTATGGCTGAAGCTGTGGAGCGTAGCCCTGAGGAACTCAAGTATCATCAAATCAAGCAAGAAGAAATGTGGCAACATCTCAAGCGTATTCGCGACGATGATCGCTTCCGTGAGCGTCAACCAAGTGGTGGTACTGAAACGCGTTACACTGTTCCCATTGGTCGCTATCTCACTGATCGTTGCATTGAAGTGCTGCTTGAGTTTATGGAACTTGCTAGCAATGGCAAGGCAGAGATCAAGTCGCGTGATTTGAAGGAAATCCTTGGTCGTGAACCACAACCATTGCAAGAATACTTTAAGAAGAATCGTGATCAATTCAAGCGTTTCCGCTAAAATGAATGAGCTTATTTTAGTTTACCATTGTATCATAATGATACCGATGTCATTTGTCTCAATTGCCTTTCTTTGTCCTTTTTCTTTCAATAAATGACACATTGTTCATGGTACAGGTCACGTGTAAGAAATGGGCGGGTTGCTTGCTGTGTGTGTGTGTGTGCAATCCAATTTCATCCAGCGCACGCACCTCTTCTTTATCCTTTCAACTTGTCACAATGGCACACGACGCTGATCCAAGCAACAAACGACCACTCGAAACTGAAGAACCAGTTGTAGAACAACAAGACGATGGTGCGTGGATAGTGTACACAGTGATCACGTTGTCGATACCAATCAACTCGCCTCCCCTTTGTTAGATGACATTGGCCCCATGATGCCACCTCCACCAAGTGAAGCACCTCCCAAAAAGAAACGAGGTACGGATTCCTTCTTGTCTCCGCAATGCGAACCTCATTTAACGTGCTGTCTTCAGTTCTTGCACATGAAAAGTTGTTCCTGTCACACTTGCCCAACGCCGATATGTATGAAAGAAGTTATATGCATCGAGATACGCTCAATTACGTTGCCGTTTCACCAGAGTACGTATCAAACATTAAGCATTCAGCATGGTCCATTGACGACATTTCTCAATAGCAACGATTTTATCATCACAACATCCGTGGATGGTCATCTCAAGTTTTGGAAAAAGACTGCAAGCGGTGTAGAGTTTGTCAAGCATTATCGCGCCCATTTGGGTACCATTGTTGGTATCAGCCTATCTGCAGATGGCGAGTTGCTGGCTACAATCTCGGAGGATCAAGCTCTCAAGGTCTTTGACGTGACCAATTTTGGTAAGGAAAGGAGATATGGATGGGGTCGTGAACCGTGCTACTGTATACTCACATAGGGGGGCGGGTTTTTCTTCTAAAGATATGATCAATATGATTAAACTCGATTACAAGCCCAAAGCTGTGTGCTGGATTCATCAGCGTGGACAAGCCCAAGCATTCGTTGCCGTGTAAGTTATATAGATCATTGTATATGAGAAGAATGGGCTTTCACCTTACAAGAGATACCTCCCATTAGATCCGATGCTGACAGTCCAAAGATCAATATTTATGATGGCCGAGCTGACAACAAGCCCCTACATACTATTACCGACATGCATTCACAACCAGTACACTTGATGGCGGTAAGAGAGGAAAAATGACATGGATCATGCATATACATTGTACTCATGTCTATTTCAAGTTTAATGCAACGTTCGATTGTGTGGTCTCGGTGGATACGAATGGCATGGTGGAATATTGGCAACCAGAGGCACCTTTTGAATTACCACGTAGTCTGAAATTTGAAATGAAATCGGAAACGGATTTATACGAATTCCGCAAGGTACGTGCAGGATGGCTTCATTGACTCTATGTAGATTCACTTATACGATGCTTTTCCTTATAGAACAAATCAGTACCAACGTCAATAACGTTCTCGCAAGATGGTCGCCAATTTGTCACTATGAGCTTCCCCGATCGACAAGTCCGCGTATTCAAGTTTCTCAGCGGTAAACTCTTTCGCAAATACGATGAGAGCATCCAAGTTATCAGTGAGATGCAACAAGTAAGTCATGGCTTGATGTTTCTTCTTTCCACCACCAGCTGACTTGGAGATTTCTTTTACATAGGCTGGTACTGCTATTCACAAATTGGATGACATGGAGTTTGGACGGCGGTTAGCTGTGGATCGTGAACTTGAAAAATCACCGCAAGCCAACTTTGTCAATGCTGGTATGGTCTTTACTTTTGATGTGGCTCTCTTGAATACTCATTGGACATCATCATCTTTATAGTGTTTGATGAGAGTGGCAATTTTATTATATACGCGACGTTGCTCGGTATCAAGGGTAAGCGAAAGGGATATCCTATACGTGCGGTATGAGCTAAATGAATCATTGCGCAGTCGTCAATATTCGCACAAACAAGGTTGCTCGGCTGATTGGCAAGTCAGAGACACATCGTTTCCTCAACATGGCATTGTATCAAGGTGCACCAAAGAAGAAGGGTGTTTATACTTTGGTAAGTTTGGGAGTATCCAATGATGCATCATGTTTATTGACGCATCCCTTAGGCAATGGCTGCTTCAGATAATGCGACACTCAGAGAAAGTGAAATGCTGGATCCCACATTATTCTGCACAGCATTCAAACGCAACCGATTTTTCATGTTTACAAAGCGAGAACCTTACGAGTAAGTGCAAACGGATCATATTTAGTGGAAGGGAAACTAACATCAATGTATCATCAAAGGGATGAGAGTCAAAAGGGTGATCGTGATGTATTTAACGAGAAGCCATCCCGAGAAGAGCAAACTGTGGCAGCTACTCAAGAACGCAAGCAAGTGTTGGGCACCCATGCCATCATTCGTACGACACGAGGTGATATCCATATTCGACTTTTCCCTGATGTAGCACCCAAAGCTGTTGAGAACTTTGTGACGCATTCCAAGAACGGTTATTATGATAACCTCATCTTCCATCGTGTTATCAAGGGTTTCATGGTTCAAACGGGTTGTCCATTTGGTAGGTGGTAGTGGTATGGGATGGAGGGGTTGAATACGATAAACGAGACAACAGCAGGCTAACTCCATATCATTTTTCAGGTGATGGCACGGGTGGTGAATCTATTTGGGGAGATGACTTTGAGGATGAAGTGACACGTGATGTGCGGCATGATCGACCCTACACTGTGAGCATGGCCAATGCGGGTCCCAACACCAATGGAAGTCAATTCTTTATTACAGTGGTACCTACGGTATGTGTCATATGACTAAGAATGATACATGGATTGATCATACTAACATCAACACAATGCTGCGCTTCCCATAGCCTTGGTTGGATATGAAACATACAGTCTTTGGTCGAGCTACAGCAGGCATGGATGTTGTGCACGAGATTGAAAATGTCAAGACCGACAAGAACGATAAACCATATGATGATGTCAAGATCATTAATATTGAAATTCGATAAAGCATTGTAGATAATATTATAAAAAGGGGTTTATTTGCATGATTGATATGATGACTATGAATGAGTGTTTGAGGAGTGCATGTGTATGTGGCTTGGTATAGGATATCAAATATCTCGCAGCATAGAAAGAAAGTGCTGTTCCTGAGTCAACTGTGACGGTTGATGCGGGCTGACAAGGACACACACACTCATGTATAAAGAAATCGGGCGTCGTTCCACTTCCTTGTTTTACTGCTACACATACACAACATGCTTGATATCAACCTTTTACTCAAGGAGCGTGGTGGTGATCCTGAGCTCGTCAAGGAGTCCCAACGCCGTCGTGGTGCCCCTGTTGAAGTTGTCGACGAGATTCTGGAAAAGTACAAGGAATGGGTGAAGAGTGAGTATATACCCTTTGCTGTCATTTCACCAAGGAGACGATTGCATTAACACGACGACCACAGCTCAATTCAACAGCGACCAAAAGAACAAGGAGATCAATGCTATCCAAAAGGAGATTGGCAAAAAGTTCAAGGCCAAGGAAGACGCCAGCGAGTTGTTGAAGCAAAAGGAAACGTTGCAAAAGGAAAAGGAAGCTTTCCAAGCTCAAAGCAAGGAACAAGAAGCTGCATGGAAGGAGAAGCTCGCTACTCTTGGCAACATTGTACACTCTTCTGTACCCACTTCTATGGATGAAGACAACAACGAAGTGATCCGCACATACTATCACAATGGTGTCGAACCCACCAAGCGCACCGATATCCTCTCTCATCACGAAGTGTTGGCTCGTTTGGATGGCTATGATCAGGAGCGTGGTGCCAACGTTGCTGGTCATCGTGGTTATTTCTTGACGGGTGTGGGTGTCGACCTCAACTTGGCCATGATCAACTATGGTCTTTCTTTCCTTGCCAGACGCGGTTACAAGAAGTTGATGACTCCTTTCTTCATGAAGAAGGATGTCATGGCCAAGACTGCACAACTTAGCCAATTCGATGAAGAATTATACAAGGTCGTTGGTGATGGTGATGACAAGTACTTGATCGCAACCTCCGAACAACCCATCTCTGCTTTCCACGCTAATGAATGGTTTGAGAAGCCCAGTGAACAACTTCCTCTCAAGTATGTATATGGATGGAATCAATGCTATTTTGTCACGTGATCACTTATGGATGATTGAAATAGGTACGCTGGTTACTCTACTTGTTTCCGTAAGGAAGCTGGTGCACATGGCAAGGATACTTGGGGCATTTTCCGAGTACATCAATTTGAAAAGATTGAACAATTCGTGTTGACCGAACCTGAAAAGTCTTGGGAAATGTTCAACGACATGATTGGCGCCTCTGAAGAATTCTTCCAAAGCTTGGGTCTTTCTTATCGCGTCGTCGCTATCGTCTCTGGTGCTTTGAACAATGCTGCTGCCAAGAAGTACGATTTGGAAGCCTGGTTCCCCTTCCAGGGTGAATACAAGGAACTTGTCTCTTGCTCCAACTGTACCGATTATCAATCTCGTCGCCTTGAAATCCGATGTGGTGTTAAAAAGATGTCTGATCGCGAGAAGAAGTATGTCCATTGTCTCAACTCTACTCTTTGTGCTACCGAACGTGCTATTTGTGGTATCTTGGAGAATTGGCAACGTGAGGATGGTTTGGAAGTCCCCCCTCCTTTGGTTCCTTACATGGATGGCCGCACCTTTATTCCTTACAGCAAACCCCTTCCCAAGACCAGCTCCAAGCCTGGCAAGAAATAAACGTGTTCTCAAGAATAGTAATGCATATTCCAGCAATAAAAAAAAAGAACCCTGTACATTTCATCACTTTTGGGATTATCATCATCATGGAATTACAATGGCATAATTAAGAATCTAAGATATATGGATATTTTTACTCCGCCTCAGTCGTCGTCGTCGTCGTTTTCGTCGCCTTCTTGGATGCAGTACGCTTATCAACCCATTCTCTCATACGTGGGCCAAACATGTGCACCGTTGGAACGCATGCAACAAAGACCACCAAACATATAAACGCCGCAAGAGTGCTATGATAAAGTCATTAGATCACCTTCTTGATGATGAAAGCAAAAGAATGAATACTTACTATGACCAACCATCACCCAAGCTACCTCGGATTTGTACGGCAGGAAGCGAAAAGATCATAGCACCAAGATTACGGCAAAAGTTGGCAGCAGATACAACAGATGCAGAAATTGGCAAATAGCAATCCGTAAGATACGTCATGCCAGTGGTAACAGTAAACATGCAACCAAACGTTGCTACAACAATAGCCACAATTAGCTTAGTGAACACCCTATGGATTATGATGTTTTCACTTACAAAGGGCATAACCAATCAAGGGTGGGAACCAATGGACATGGAAATGGAGCAACCAGCCGTAAAGGATATAACCAAGAACCAGGAACGGAGCACCAATGTACATCGGAAGGAGCCGATCCTCCGATTTGACGTGACCATTCTTCTTCATTTTATAGCGATACACCCGATCGGAGACGAAGCCGGCTACAGTGCTGCCACTAATGTTGCCCACACCACCCGTCAAGTACAATAGACCACGTGAACCAGTATCAAAGCCATAATTGGTCTCGTAGGTAATGGGAAGGATCGTCACCATGTAAAAGAAGCAGCCAAATGCAGTCAAGATTTGCATAGAGATCAAAAAGACATCCGGTCGCCCTAGCAACTTGATACTCTTGAGCTATAATCAGACGATGAATATAAATAAAAAAGGTTGATGTATGTGAGAAAAACACTGTGTCATGCCAAAGAATGGACAATGCTGGTAAAGAACAAGCGGTGAAAGCATATGCCATCGACCCATAATGTACAAAGCGCTTACTGGATTGAATTTGAGGCGAGCCAATTTTTGGCGGTAAGTTGTTGGCTTGATCTTTTCTTGAAGTGGATCAGTAGGCTGGTACAACGTTTCGCGTAAAAAGAAGAAATCAACCACTGTGACAACGCCACCAATCATAGCGCTAACATAAAAGATCCATCGCCATCCTAGGTATTGGTCAACATAGCCACCCACAATGGGGGAAAATGCAGGCCCAAAGATGGTCCTACATTAAGCAATGAGTATGATTGTTATAGTAACAGCACAATGAAATCACATACGAGATCATAAAAACGCTCATAGCACGACCCCGTTCATGCGGATGGAATAAATCGGCAACGGATCCACCACCAACGGCCATGCCTATGTAGGTGCATGTAACAGGTTAGCAGCACGAATGGATTACACAAGGGGGGCAAAAAGTTGATCCTTGCCTGAAGAAGCTGCGACACCTTGAAGAATGCGAAACACAAAGAAAAGACCCAAATTGGAAGCAATACCACAAATAATGGTGAACACGGTGTATAAACCCATTGATATCAAATATACCATTCTTTGATAGGTCAGTATAGAGAAATAAAAAAGAGTAATTGATATTGGGTGTGGGTGGATGTAATGCTTACCTTCTCCCGATACGCTCTGAGAGAGGTCCCCACGCTAGTGGCTGGATGATAGAAAGGGAAAATGAGTCCTTTTCTGGAATACAATATTACCGGGGAACATCACCGCCCCTGAGATTGTCCCGATGCTTACTGCTGCGCCAATAGCCAGAATATACAAAGCGATTGTTGCATTTATCGTCTATAATACCAATAAAGATTAAGTATACAATACTTCAAATCAAGGCTACTAGTGTTTAGGTGGCAATACTTTACCGTCAGATCAGTTTGGAAGAAATTGGCGAGATCGCCGGTTGCTGGCATCTAATGGAGTGCATGAGCATAGTGACATGAGAGTATGATAAGGCACAAGGGGGGGCACCTACATAAACAGCTGAAGAGAAATAGCCGATGAAGGCATTGAAAAATACAATAGTGAAATTGATCCAACGCTTGCTGTTTGGCCAATTCTTTTTGAAGACACGGTGATGAACATGACACTGGAGCAACGAGACATGCATGCATATTGATAATAAAACGTACCTTTGGATCGTTGGTATCGATAGGGATATCGCCTTTGGTGCTGCTGCTGCTTTGGCTCACTGAACTTGTTGCAGGAGGATCACTTTCAGCAATAGTAGGAACACCTCGTTCCATATCATCTTCTATATTATGCTCGATAAGCTACATGAATTCAATCCATGCGACGATAGCAATTACCTGTCGTCGGTTGCTTTGGATCGCTCATGATATCCTTGTTCTTGATTGACGAATAAGAGAATGCTCTAAACTGATCTAGATTGGTTCTTATATACAGTATGCGCGGAGCTGAACCAGCCCAAAGTGCGATTGGCCAATGATCTCGGGAAGGCCACACCGAAATGAGTAAACCGATTTCGTAAACTGCCACCATCATCACGCACAACGCATCATCGCCTTTTACAAGAGGCGGTGTAACTGCCCGAAAAGAGTGAGCTGGGAGAGCAAGGGACCTTTTCGGGTAATCTCTCTCCCCCTTTTCTTCCTCCACTCGCCTCATTGTTTCCGTATTCGCTTCAATGTCAACTTTTGTTTATCCAAAATACATACAACTTTGGTGCGAATAGTATGGGAATCAAGAATGTTGCTGCGGCAGCTTGAAAGATCAAGGTTATTTTGCCAATGATGACGACGATAACAAAGTCAGATGTGCGTCTTTGTTTTTTTTCACCTCTTTTACGCATGCAATCTAGGTGCCAGGTGGCACAAGCAACAAACTCAATCATAGATAGTCAGATTGGGTATGCCAAGTAGGTGGCTATCATTGAAATAAAGTGACACATGTATATCTAGAATGCGGGGTCAATATGGGAAATGACTAGGTGTCTCAACTTTCGGAGACAATGTCGTCCAAATAGAATACCAAAAAGAGCATTTTATGTGATCTGTCAAGATAGGTCAATGTTGCAGACAACATCAATGCGATCGTTTTTGTATTCATGGCCTATACAACAATGACAGTGCCTTCCTTTATGAGTGAGTTGGAATAGTATGATTGAACGTATACATCCTTGCTATTTTCATGTCACATGATAACATAGTCCAAGAAGAGAAATCCCCGTGGACTCGGACATCAACCATAAATCAACAAGCACAGACCGCAATATATGAACCTCCCTATATTTTCACACAGCTACATTTACATGTATATGTCGAGGATGGGAAATGCAACGTTACTCGCATATAGCATGTCACTTTTTTGCTCTCTTTTGGCGTAGCCTTTCATTTTTCTAAAAGAAGACTAGTTACAATGGCAGTCATTGCATCCTCTCAACGTTACTATGATAGCATACATACTAAGTCTTTTATCTTTTGGATCGCTTTGTATATAAACCAAGTGCTGCTTCTTACAATGGGTGCTGGAATCACCTGTTTTTGATCCCAGAGTGGCTCACTACTGTATCCAGATTCTGACTTGGATATGACATGAGGAGTTGAAAACTAGCAATCGTATAACCCAGATGTAGGCTATGTGTAACCAACAACATGGTGGAGCTATTCTATACTTGCTCTATGGGTGATGATTCAGATGATGATTAGATTTATTTGAATGTAGCATTATCTATCACTATGATGATGATGGTGATGGCGATGAGCGTGTTGTGCGTGTTTGAGTGGATGGGCGTATGTGTGTGGGGTGTGTGAATGGGGTGAGTGTAATCCTAATAGTGGGATTTAACTTGGCGCCCTGTACAGAGATTTAACTTGCTGGCAGCTCTTGAAGGGGATTTTAATTTGGAGACCAGCAGCTCTACGTCTTGAGAACAACGCTTTTCTTTCTCCCTCTCCTTTTCACTCCATTCACGGAATCCCATCAAGGTAATGCTCTCGTTGATTGCGAGGTATTAATACGGTGCTGAGTGTACATAGGCAAGGAGTATGCGTGTGTGCCGTAGCCTTGGTGACATCGTCGCTCTTCTTGCTCGTTGTTATGCCGCTCTACACTTGGTGCAACAGGTACATTCAAAGCCCTCATGAAGCAGTAGAACTTGTTCCATTGACGGTATGGATAGCAAGATTTGATCGCCAAGACGTTGGCTCATATGGCTTTTTGTTTCGCTTCGATTGCACTACACCATGGCTTCCGGTTTCCAGCAAGCCAACAACAAAGATCATCATGCATATGACAAAGGCAAGTGCAGTGAGTAACGACAATGAAAAAGGCATTGATTGTAATAATGCATGGTGGTATTATGGAATAGATCTTGGTCAGGTCATGCAACTTTTGGGCATCATGTCTCTTGGGTTCGACTCCCAGCCTGTACCTTTTGGGCATTTGACACTCTTCTACTGGTATATGTTGGTAGTTACTCTTTGAGGATTGGAAAGGATTGGAAAGATGGGTAAGGTCACTCTTTCTTTGTTGGAGAGGACGAATGAGAACAACAATGGCATCGATGGTGAGTTGGTTATGTGATTCCTGCAGAATTGTTTTCTTTTTTTATGGCGACGACAATGACACAGGCAAGCTTGGTTCACCTTTCTCCTCACGAGTGATGTTGCTTGATGGATTCACCATATCCCATTATTTTTATTTGTGTCTTGGATGGCTCTCATGACTACGCTGGCTATGACGGATGAAGCGACCGTGGCAAAGTAGCTAGAAGCATTGCTTATTGGATACTTGGCATTAACTAGCTTGTTCTCTTCTTGTTGTTGCTTGAGGATTATGGAATAATAAAATAGCTATGCTATTGGTCTTGTGATAAGGATGACAGCTCTAAGTCTCATTTGGGGCAAGCACAATGACAATAACTTGATGATTGACGTTGGCAGTTGTGTTTCCACTTGTTGGTATTACATGATGTCAACAACATTGTGTGTTAGTTGCAGATTAGTAGTAGAGGCTTAGTCATACAACAATGAACTCAATGATGGCATTGATACACACATACCACGACAACATTGATAGATAAGATGAGCACACCATAACAACATCACTTGGATCATGGGTTATCATTTCCAAATACATACAAGATTAATCAAATGCTACTTGATAGTGCGTTATCAAACATGAAAAGACAAGAATAGATGTTTAATTGATCAAAGAACATGGTTTAATAATGATTACGATATGTACTAGAATAAACAAGTAGCTGTTGGTTTCCTAAAGCCAAGGCTAAAGTACTCACAGGGATGACCAACGAGAAGGTCGCTACTCAACCATCCCCAACCTCTACCTGTAGGCACCAATTCCAGGTCGACGAGGCCGCTTGTACATGCCACTTTAAGGTGCCGGGACTTGACGCGCCAAAACCTCGTTTGGAAGAAACCATGCTGCTTGTGTCTTTGAGATAGAAAAGTGTAGCATGTTTTTGGTGAGCGAGAAACAAATAGGTAATAAGAATACTTATCTTCCCTCCTAGTTTCCTTCCAATGAATCCTTTGGCATTACCCAAACAAGAGCCACTTGTTGGTATCTTTGGATAGCGGTCTTTTATTAGTGCACCCTGGACACTGCTACCGGTCTGCATTTCGTCCTCGGCCAAACGCCCATACAACACGCCGACACGTAGTGGGCAGCCAGTTTACGAGGAATGGCCAACATCCTTGCTACCTCCGTATCAAGATCTGCTGGGATTCATGGAAGCCTTGTGTGGAAACCGGGCTGGTGAGGGGGCAAAGAGTTTCCAATGCACACCATTAGGTCCCCCAAGTCGCTGCAAACAAGGCATGGTGAGTATTACAAGCAACACAACGAAAAGATAGAAACAACTTACTTTGGCCAAAACATCGTGATAGTAGGAAAAGCACGCACGCCATGCGAATCGATCGATTGAGTTGAGAGCAAGAAGGCGGAGGTTGCCAGGGTGATCCGCAGTAATTTGTCTCTCGTCGCGACGCAACGGAACTTGAAATTGGGGCGTCTCCATGGACCACACCCCATACCTCATAATGGCTAAGGCGCCAGGCTTTAATTTTCGCGGCTTTGAGTCGGGAGCTTCCACACAATACCACTTACCCCAAAGTCATTACGTACTATTCTTGTATGTTATTATTATGGATATAGTTCCAGTAAAAGTATAGGGTATTCAGGAATAAAAGCATCGTTAATATACATCATCATCGTGTACTGCTGGTGTTGTTTTGTTGATCCAGCATTGATGTATGTGGCTCTCAAATAGCAATGCCCATCCAACGAATGTATCATGAATAAAGAGTGGTTGATCTCTGCTTGAGGCAACGTGAATTCTACATTACCAATCAAACACATACACATACATTATCTGTTTTATTTCATTGTGCATGCCCCTCGTAACTTTCTAACCCGGCTGTGGAGGCATCAAGCACGGTCCGTGCGCATCACTTTTTATGCAGCTGGACATTTCACAGAATCCAAATGCGATATGGAGCCAACATTATTGCCATACACAAATCTTGACACACCTTCACCATTGGATGTTGTATACTTACTTACCTTCCTCAAGGCAAACATGATCATGGTCCATTTGTGCAACAATCTGTCAAGGACGCTCGTGTGTAACTACCACGTGCCATTACACTCAGCAGCTCTTCATCTTTCTGTTCATGCAGCCGACACCATCCATTAGGAAAGAGCAACTCCATCACGCTTACAGCATAGGTAAAACATAAACGTGCCTGTATCTCCGAACTTTACAATGAAACGTGGGGTTTTTATTAGAGCAATGAGCTCGGCTTAGCCAACTGCAGCTTGTGTGAAAGTTTCACGTTCAATGTCGCAACTAGCCCAAAAAATATTTTTGTGGTCGTCGTCGTCGAAGAGGTCGACCCCAAGATCCAGTTTGGCTGGTGGCGACATTGCGAAATCTGGGATTGGCAAGCTTGATCGTGAAACTTGCACCCAAGGTGCAGTTGGCCAAGCCGAGCCCATTGCTCTAATAAAAACCCCATGTTTCATTGTAAAGTTTGGAGATACAGGCACCTTTATGTTTGTAAGCATGATGCTATATGGGAAGTGGTCTTCGTTCAATGTCAAGTCGCTGGACCCTGGCAGAGCAAAAGATGCAGAGGGACCTCTTTGTGTAACTCAGCTACTTTGCATGACTGGAAGGATGGAAGGATGATACTATATACTGTTGACAAAAGCCCGTACATTGCGAGCTAACAGCCATTTCTTCACAATAGCCACTGTTGTCCACTCTATGACATGTGAGCGATGCTCCTGCTTCAGACATTCATTTCCATGATTGGATTATGTTGATCCGACTTGATTTGACCGAGATACAGCCAAAGACGGATTACATCAATCCACACATCTAACCATGCTCTATGTTGCTCAACTGAAGTAACCTTGTATGAGCGTAGCTCAGCCAAATCAACTCGGATCAACATAATCCAATCATGGAAATGAA